CTGCAAGAATTTGAGACGATGGTAAGTAAGCGCAAATACGGAAGAAAAAAAAATAGTTGAGCTATTTTATGCCTTTTATTTTATTTTTGCAGAACATAGTTGCGCAAGACTATTTATTGCAAGAGCCACGCTTGCTTAAAACAACTGCCGAATCGCTATCTGCGTTTAGCGACACTTTTAACGAAGATCTCGACTTGATGCAATTTAACGAAATGAACAAAACACTCGCCAAACTAGAAATCGCTTTGAAACACTATGATATCGAGAATATTGCGACACCCGTTATTGAGAGACCGTCATGCGATCCTTCTCTGGCAAGAGGATGGATGTCAAACGGATTTTGGAATGTCTCCTGTATAGAATATGTCAAAAGTAAATTTATACCTTGTTTCCACTTAAAAATCTCCAATTTTTTAATTTAACATACGTTATTCCACTTTTTATTTTAGACTTTTCCAAAGTGTACAACATAAAATACTCTAGCAAGAAGCAATTGTTATCGCTGTATGAAGCGATGCAAAGATTACAGCGCACGGAATACCGAAATACGCTGATCGGGATTATTTTGCGCGACGTGATACCCGCCGTTAAGTCCAACATTGATCCCACGAGCGCGGAATACGCGCGAGCGTACAAGACGATATTTGTTCTCTGCCAAGATTTGAATCCCGAAGTGCCAGTTTTAGTGAGGACCGACAGCTAAGTCCCACACACTACATATTCTTCGTTGCTATGGTAACCGTTATACGTGTACAACTTAATTGATACTTTTTGCGAAACGGCGCACAGTTGTATTTTACTACTTGTTAACATTGCGCTGCGGTATTAATAAGCGAGCGATTTTGTGCCACCAATTATTTCTAGTGTGATAAATAAAATTTCGATATCAAAGTAAATCATTTCCACGACTATATCCTGCATCCTGCATCTATTCATTCTGCGTGCAATTTGAAGCTATCGTTATTACACAATGGAATACGCTTACACGAAGAAGAGAATGCAATACGGGCGGAGAAGCAATTTCTCCGACTTCGACAAGGCGGAAGTAGAAATTAAATCGAATCCAGCGCTGATGAGCAATTACACTCGACTGGATCCTGTGACACACGCCACGCAGTGCAGTAAGGTCTTCGCGGTTCACGAGGTATCTTTCGATAGTTGGTTTAAAAATTAGATGACGTTACGAGTAGCACGTGCATTGCACTTGTATGTGTCGCAGGTGAATACAACCACCGCGACTTACAGGGACAACAAGATGTTCCACTACGAGGGCGGTTGGCCGAAGGATATAAACATGAAGGACCTGGAGCAGACGGTCCGGTATAGGCGCAAGATCGAAAAGGACGAGCTGTACATTCACACGATGCTCCAATTGTTGCCTGTAAAAAAAATCTTGTTCGATTTTGTTGAAGCTCTTGGAACTCGCTCTCGTATTTCAACGCGCGATTTTACGCGCTGCTTTCAAGTCGATGGAGCACTGCATACTGCAGAACAACGCGTGCAACATCTACGAGCAGTATTTCGCCGATGTGGAGACCGAGCCGCTGATACAGAGAGCTTTTTCGCGCACGGTGAACGTCTACCGGGATCCCGTGACGATGAAGCGGCAGATCACCCATCTGTCCTGGTCGCCGGATCAGGGTAACCGTTTCGCGGCCAGTTATTGCAGCACCAACATCAAAAAAAGCTTCGGCAGTAATATGTCGTATATCTGGGAAGTGGGTGCGTTGAGTATAAGCATGAATTAGAATTGAGTAATGAGCGGAATTAATCGAAACTTTCGCAGAGAACCCGAACAATCCGTACATGACGCTGAAGCCGTTCTGCCCGATTCTCACGCTGGAATATAATCCTAAGGACAGCAACGTCCTGATGAGCGGCCTGATGACCGGACAGGTGGCCTGCTGGGATATCAGAAGAGGCGTGGAAGCGGTGGAGATCAGCTCAGTGGAGTGCAGTCACAGGGATCCGTGCGACAAGACTCTGTGGATCAATTCCAAGACCGGCACTGAGTTCTTCAGCGCCTCGAAGGACGGTCAGGTATATAGAATCTCGCGGCGAAGGGACGGAGGTCAGAATACATGCTCTTTCACTGTAGATAAAATGGTGGGATACCAGAAAGATGCAGACGCCGACGGAGACATTGGTGATAGATCTGTTGAAGCCGGAGGATCAAAATGTGGACAAGGCGATCGGCATTTCGGCCCTTCAATTCGAACCGTCAATAGGAACGCGCTTCATGTGCGGCTTAGAAAACGGTATTTATCATGTTACGAGAGATTCGATTGTTTTACACTTTTCATTGATATATAAAACATTTCGAATTTTTATTCGAATTTTATTACAATTAATTTTTTATTAAAATTAGAATTTTTATTTGGAATTCTGGTTAACACACCATGTGCGTTTCATATGTACATCTAGCACTAACATTTGTAGTATTTTTTTTTTTTTAAATGAAATAATTATATTCTTCGACATGCATTCCATTATTAAGCACTGTAACATTATTATTGCATTTACATTGTTTACTGATAAATAGTTGTAATAGCTTAACACGCAAGATCGCTATTGAGACAAAATTTGATCGTAAAATCAAACTAATTTTCTACATTGTTCAAGGTATTGTAATATCGGGTAATCGCAAAGGTAAATCGCCCGGCGAGAAGATCGCAACGAGATTCAAGGCGCAGTACGGGCCGGTCATAAGCCTAGAGAGAAATCCGACGTTCGTGAAGAACTTCTTGACGGTCGGCGATTGGACCTCGAGAATTTGGTCGGAAGACTGCAGGGAGTCCTGCATAGCTTGGACACCGTAAGTTCAAAAATAAGAGGAAATTCGCGTAGGAGGCCTGCTGACAAACAATATTAATTCCTCAGCGGTCATCGAGATTTTTTAACAGGCGGCGCGTGGAGCGCCACGCGTTTCTCCGTGTATTTCCTGATCAAAACGGATGGAACGCTGGATGTGTGGGACTTTTTAATCCAGCAGGACAGTCCGGTCCTCAGCGTGAAGGTACACGATCAGGCTGGTGCTGTGTCCAACGATAAATTTGCAATACAATCTGTTTCAAGGTCTGCGATGAGAGTTTGACATGTTTACGACCGCACGAACAAGGACAATTGGCTGCAGTTGCAAACAAGAAAGGCTCGACTTATCTGCTCGAATTTTCAGAAGCTTTGACGATCAATCAAAAGAATGATAAATTACTGTTAACTGCGGCAAGTATCAAACTTCTTAAAAATTAATAGAAAAAGGATACTAATTTGTTAAAGTCTTTTTTACTACAATATTTCAACATTCTCAGAATCGAGAACTTAATTATTTCGTTTATCGCTGAAAAATTTTGTTCTTTGCTTTCGATATTTTAATGATTGCAGTGAGAAATTAAGAGTTTTAAAAGATAATTATGAAGATTTTATACCAGTTAAAAGAAAGAAGACAAAAGAAACAGATCATATATCAGACACATCCTTCTTTTCGTTAGTAGAAATGGTATTATCGGTTTCTCTAGCTTCTTGATCGCGAGACGCGCCGGGAGAAAGTGATAGAAGCGAAGAATAGAGAGCAACGATTGAAAATGAAAACGCAGAAGAACCAAGGCGATTCGGATTTCACCGATATTTCCACGAAGCCGGACGAACGAGAAGATACGAAGGAATCTGACGGTCTGAGGACCACGTTAATAATGCAATGTGAACAGGAGTATGAAAATTTGATTAACGCGGTAAGAGAATCTTCCGGCACCCGGTAATTCAATTAATTTTACGCAAACAGATATATATTTAGTTATCGATTGTTATTGTGCAGGAATTGACACGACAGACGGAAGAAAGTAACGTGGAACTGAATAACAACTTGGTACAGAACGGCGGCGTTATAAGTTGAAATGTGATTGCTAATAAAACATCCTTCCACGATCATTTCTGATCCCTCATCGTAGCTGCATTGAATCATGAAATGTTTTAAATACACTACATGTCAGAAAAAGAGGTGCATTGTTTTTTTTCCTCTCCAAAAGTATTTATTTGTCCACGATTGTTCTGTCGCGTATTTTTAACGACTTTGTAAAGATTTATCTTTTCTTTAATATCTCTCAAGTTTTTATCTTTTTGTTCTTGAATAAATCTTTCAGAAAAGACCACGTGTATAAATTTATGTGATGTATATTCTAAACTTGATAAATAAAGTTTGTCGAAACTCCGAATTTAATTATAAAATGCAGTAGCAACAAATAAAGATATTGCAGAAAATATTAGCAGTTTGGAAGTTTTAAAAATTATTAGAAAAAACTAGTGTTCAGTATTGCTTGAGAAATTATTATTAAAACGCGGAACTTGCTGAAAAATTGAACGCAATGAGGTTGGAGTTCCTCGTCGTCGCGTATCGATCGATCGACGCTTCCACGCAACCACGCGGTCGCTACACCGACTATTCGCACACCTGGCGTACGTAGTAACGCTGTTGCGATTCCACCTACGCGACCGCCGACGAATTAGCACGATATTTATACTCGCGTCGTAAAGTGATTTTAATGAAGACCGCAACGAGGACAGAATTATTTTCTTCAGCGAATTAATATTTGCCTTGGTGAGCGATCGATCGATTCGACGCAAGTGGAACACACGCGATCCTCATTTGTGAGCGACCTTGTTCTTTTTAGCGGCGCGTTAACAATTTTCAGAAGGTGATCCGCAGCCGAGGGGAAGCCATGGCTAAGCCCGGCGAGTCTAGGAGAATCAGCAAATTGACGAGATCGCGTAACGTGTCGTCGTTCTTCGAGGAATCGACGGAGAGCGCGACGCCGCCGAAGACAACGTTGAGCGTCGTCGCGGATGTTCACACCGAGGCGGAGAATCCTAACCGACAGCGACGACGACGGGGCAGCGACGAGAACAATCATTCAGGTGATAAGGAAACCAGGCGATCGTCCGAGATCTCCAAAGCCTCCTCGCGAGCGAGCGAGGCGTCGCGGGATCGCTCTTCCGGTCGCGGCACCAGGAACTCTTCGAGGGATCGCTCCAGGCACTCGCACGATGACTTGACAGTGGAGTCGTTGGATTTGATAGAGGAATTTACGACGAGCAAGAAGATGGAGTCTCCTGAGGAGAAACCGCGCCGCCGGAAACAGTGGAGCACCGTTGCGAGCTTGGCGAACGAGGTGGAAGCGGATGCGAAGAGGCTGCCGCGGAAGCGCTGGTTGAAGGACGCCGGCATTATTCGATTACCCGAGACGAAGGACGCGTCTCCGTTGATCGACGCCCCGCGTCGACTTCCGGTCCCGGCACCGCGATCCAGCGTACGACAGAGCGTTGCCGCCTCCTTTCACTTTGACAATCCGGCGTTCGTGTCCGAAAATGAGGACGAGGTGCTCAGGATCGAGACTGATCACAATCGGGAAAGCACGAGGATCGAGATGAGGAGGCTGAGCGATCGTTCGAGCGGATCCAGCGGCTTGTCGCGGAAGCATCGGAAAGACGTGGCGGACAGCGACGATCGGTCCTCGAGGACCAAGTCCTCGGCGAGTCGAAGGGACAGCGTTGAAGAGCAGGAATTGTCGGGCACCTCGGCCAGCCTCGAGAGAATCACCGACCTTCGCACGAGCTCGATCGCCTCCGAGGCGCGTTCCGGGACAAGCGAGAGAAAATCCCGACCGGAAGCGAGGCGGGACCGGTCGTCGAGGAAAGAGGAGCGATTGTTTAAGAAGAAAGAGCCGCCGAGCGACGAGATCGTGAGTTCGTCCGCGCGGAACGTGGATTCCGCGACGAAAACCTCGACGGAAACGAGAGTCCGAAAGAAGAAGAAGCGGAAACGAAAGCAGGAGAAGGAGGAGGCAAAGGAAAAGGGGGAGATGAAGTATGTTTCCGTGACGGTTCATCGGGCGGACGTGCTGGAGGCCGATTACGTAAGCGCGAAGCGGCCGATGGTGAGGGTGCACATCGTGGAGGCTCGCACGGGTTCGTACTTGAAGACGAGCACAGCGAGCAATCGGGAGAACGCGCATCTCCAGCCGATGATCACCGGCAAATTCGATTTCAAAGAGAACAGATCGATGATACCGGTCTGGGAGGAGGAGCTCATCTTCGAGCACGACTTCGACGAGATCGTCCGGCGTGAGGATGGCGACCAAGTGGTGATCCTCTTCGAAGTGATAGACCTCCTAAGCTTCGCCGAAGCGAGTCTCAGCTACGACAGAGTCGGCAAGTTTCCCTGCGGCGCGATAACGTTGTTTATGATATCAGGATTCTTTTATCTCATCGTGTAACGAGAATAAACATGCTATTTGTTAAAATTTAAGATAAATTGACTTTTTTTTGTAAATTAATCGTTGTAATTTTACTAAATAATTTATATAAAATATATTCTAGCGATGAATATTCAACTCTTGAATATTAATGACGTCATTGAAATACTCAATAATAAAATCTCTCATTAAAAGTAATGTTTTTTAATGTTTTGAGAAACATTTATTAATTGTAGCGTCCGAAGAAATGGTATTTCTTCGGGAGAATAGAAAATTTAACAAATCAACGAACAAAAAAAAATCTTAAATAATTCCGTATGTCTAATATTATTTTTAGGTAGCGAGGGCTGTTGGAACAAAATCGCCTGGGCATTTCTTAAGCCGATAGGAAATAACAACGTTCAGCACGTAGATAAAAAAGTCCGCTTACAGTTATACAAACCTAAGCGAAACTTTAAAAGATACGGGAAACATAAATGTGAGGTATGCATTTTTCTTTCTAATTGTGGAATCTAATCATTTCTAATCTCGAACTTTCGAAAATAGAATGACAAATCTTTGGAATTTTTCAAAAATATACATATAATTGTATCACGTGTTTTTCTCTCCGTCTCAAATAATCCATTATTTCAAGATTTCCGGTGTCGCGATTTCCTCAGCGATCGAGTATTATATCAGGGAGAAGAGAAAAAAGAATCTTTTTATAAATAATACTTAATTCATTACTTTTCGCACACGCAGGTATACACCTGGTGGCAGTCGAACAACAGGGACAAGTACCCCAGCAGTCTCCTCGTGACGGTGACGTCGGTGCCGCCGCCGAAGTGCGAGCCCGTGCTTTATCAGCAGCTGCCGCTGCACGAGATCCTCGGCGACACTCGAAACGATTCGCGGATACCGTCGACGCGCACGTCGGACTCGATCGGTCTGCCGAAATGGGCGCGGATGGCCGCCCAGTCCTGCAAGATCCCGAACGAGAGGATGTTCGAAACGGAGACGAGCGAGAACGGCTGCTTCTACGTGGCGTTCAGCAACGACGGCAAGTATCTGGCCTGCGCCCATTCCGAGGAGTACAATTATCCGATTGTCGTTTACGAGGTGCGTCAATGTCGCAGCTAGCTCGATGATAAAGTTAAATAGTGCACCTAGAGAGGAGTGTTAAAGCGTGCAAAAGTAAATTAAATTCCGGATCGCTGAACAATGAATTATTCCAATGTAGTGCTTATTGAATCGTGGCAGCTATCGTTACTTCGATTTCAGGTCGAATCCGGCAAGATTCACGTTCGATTTCTCGGCCACAAGACTTTCGTGTACTCACTAAGCTGGTCCAGCGACGATCGTCACCTGTTGTCGGCATCCGCGGATCAAACGGCGCGCATCTGGGATGTTCGCGACCAGATCATCCAGCACATCGAGGTAGCGATTCAGCGGATAGCTGTTCGAGCATTATTCTAATTTGTTTGTTGAAAAATTTAACGATGGCGGTCTATAAATTTTGTAGATTTTTTTAACAAAAAAACGCTCGTATTTTTTTACAGTTATAAAGATATTAAGGCTCCTGGATACTCGCCGCGGCCATGTTGGATTGTGATGGCAGAGGCGAGAAATGCAGGCGTTTAAATTCTTGCGTGCCGAATAAAAAAATATTTTAATGAAATAACAATATAGATCGCTTTAGCACACTTGTGAAATTGACCGAAAACGATGCTTTTCCCTTAACAGTTCATCAAAATATCTTTTTATTTAAAAATGGCACGCAAGAATTCTCAGCGTGTAATTCCTCGCCTCCGACGTCGCAATGCAACATGGCCGCGGCGAGCCCAGGAGCCTTAATATCTTTATAATTGTAAAAAAATATGCCTCTAATTATTAAACTTAATAATAATGTTAAAAATGCAGTTTAGTTTGCAACGCGCAGCTTTTAAGATGTTTAAGATGAATTTTTGAGCGAAAATTCACGTAATTCGCGCGAAAACTGAAGACGAAACCGGCGCCCCCAATTAGAGATTTGCCGATTTATCGCAGATGCTACCACACCCTTCGTACGTCTATTGCGCCACGTATGGGCCCGGCAAGACGACGATCGTGGCGACTGGATGCTACGATCGCGTGGCTCGTATCTGGGCGGGCGACAGGAAGTCGCGGAAGCGCGAGCTAAGTCAAGAGCTGGAGGGCCACGAGGGTTTCGTCAATTCTATGGTTTTCCAAAAGAACGGTAACTTAATCACGGCCGATAGCGTAGGGTCGATAATTCTCTGGACAGCTCGTAGGAACAGCAGGATCGCGGCGCGGCGCGAGTGGCGCAGCGAGCGGAAGATAAAGGTTCGCGAGATCGAGGGCGTCGTTATCAATACTATCGCTTTGCACCCGTTGGAGTCTCGACTCCTCGTGCACTCGCGCGACAACGGTCTGCGCATGCTGGATCTCGCAACCGGCGTGGTTCTGCAAAAGTATCGACAACTGCACAATCGAAGGCACGCTTCAAAACAAGACTTATTATTGAGAATCGATAAAAAAAATCTCGCTCGGCTATTTTCGATCTAACAAACCTCTTCCCTTCCTTCTCGTTCGCAGGATACAAGCGAAGGCCTGTATATCGCCCTGCGGCGGATTAATCCTGTGCGGCGGCGAGGATTCCACGCTAAATATTTGGAACCTAGAGACCGGCAAATACGTAGCCAGATACAGTGGTGGGAGGAGTTTGGCGAGAGTGGTGGTCGCTTGCGTAGATTATCATCCCTACGACCACGTGTTGGCATTCTCAACGTTCGGCAATCCCTCGGCAGTCTCAGTCTTGAAGTTCAACAAGAACGTGAGCGACAACGACGTCGGACTGAATCTCATAGACGACGCGTCGCAAGCTCGCGGCAACGAAATAATCCTGAACGTTTTGGAGCATCCTCCGTCGCGACAGAGCAAGTCCAGCGGCGGAAAGGCAGGGTCGAGCAGAAAAGCCTCTTCTTCGTCCAATCGTCCCGCGGCAGATCCCGCGATACAAATAGAAGACAACAATCCCGCGCGCCCGTGGACGAAACTGCGTCGCCTGAAGGAGATGGAGCGAAGCTGGGAGGAGAAAGGCCAGAGTCGGCTGTACCGTATCATCCGGAAGATCGACTCGCTGCTGTCCAAGAAGTCCATGTTCCCCGAGGACGTGATAGGCGGCAAGTGGACGTCCAGCGCGAACGACGGCAAGAATTCCTGGATCGACTTGGAGAGCGGCGTGTCCAGCCCTGACGCTCGAGATGTGTCCAGAAGCCAGGATCCTTCGTCCGACTTCCACGATTTGGCGGCTCTATTCGAAACTGCCGCGCCTTCGCGCAAAAGTTCATTAGAGAGTGCCGGCACGTACGTCATCGAGATGCCGGAATTCGAAAACAAGATCGCCGGAATCAGATCCGAAGACGTGGAGTCTGGTCAAACATACGGCAGCAGCAGTTCGCACGTGAGCAATACTACGTTCGTTATTGAGAACGAGCGCACGTGACTGCACCCCCTCCACTCCCCCCCTTAACTGTAATCTTGTATTGTTCCAAAGATTCTATTTTTATCTTATTGTATGACGATATTTAAACTGAAGAAATAAATAAATAAACAAATGCAAAAATGGTTGTACAGAAATTTTATTACATACGCAAATTTTAATTTCAGATCAATAAAAAAATAAAAATATTTGCTACAACTAAACCTCGTGAGAATCTCGTGAGAAAACGGTACGCACTTGTAATAATGGCGACAAGAGAAACGGTTCCGAATCATGAACTGATTACAAATGTTTACAAATGATTAACCGTGTTTGAACCACATGCAAAATCCGAAATATTTTTAAACTGGAGACGCACATATGAGAACGCCATGTGTTTAAAAATTAAATGTTTCGTATACACAGATACGTATCGAGGTACAGTGGTCTTGACTTTAAAAAAAAAAAAAGAAAAGCAACCGGAAGAAATTTCTGGAATATACTCTGAGTCCATCATAACTCTGAATCCAACAACTGCGCCACTCCACAATGTGCCTACTACGCGCAGTTCTACGCGAGTACGGATTGTAATCCAAAGTCATTAATCAAGAAGACGGTTTAATCTACCATTTAAAAAATGTTTGCAACAACCGTAGATTTGTCCTGCTTTAAGTTCTTTTGTCAGTTCCGTTTAAACATATTTCATTGATTTTGTCCGTGAACTTTTATCTCAAAATTCTTATACTCTTACAATTCCTTTTTTTTTTTTAAATTATATTGCACATTTTATTGTCCGAGATTTTCTAAGCGGACACACAAGCAGAACAAGTCTTAAATCAAATCGCATCACGTTATGCAATAAGAGTTACATATGTATTTATTTTTTATTTACTGTTCTAGATATGGAATGTTGTTGCTTAGTTTATTAATGAATATCCATAATATATATTATACACAGCCAATCTCTTGTCGTCAGACAATCATACTGTTTTGTCTAATATGAAACAATCCTGCGAATTTGTGGAACGACAAAAAGAAAATTAAAAGGAAAAACGTAACGCAACACTGCTAATAAGAATATCCGACGCGAATTGAACAATCCTTTCGGAAATACAACAGAGCTATAATAAAACTTGATCTCTCCGAGTAAATAAACTACACATATCAAGGAGTTTCAACAGTAATACATCCCTTAACGAACCGCGATAACAAGAACGTAATTGACAATAAACTCAGCGAATGTGAAAAAACAAAAAAATCTCATAGCACATGTAGCTTATATTCGTAGGACATATAAAGCCTCTGTATGAAGACAAATAGTAAAACAGACGCTTCGATAAATAAAATCTTACTACGCGCATATACTGTCCCCGTTTTCCAAAAAAAAGGGAAAAAAAAAAAAAAAAAAATTAATTAGAAAGAAATTTTTTTGTAATTAAATAAAATATAGATGCTTGTATGTTATCCTCTTATAATACTCGCACGCTTCATTATACCGTGTCGTGAAAGGAGAAAAAAAAGTATCATTTACGTATCATGATTTACGATTTATTAATCATTTACGTATCGTACTTTTACGAGGAACTCACGTTTCACGGTATAACGCCGTGTATATAAGAGGATAAGGCGATCATAAAGAAAATGTTGCTGTCGTTTACAAACCAATTGTAACGAGCTAACTAGACGACGAAAGATTCTCCTCGAATCCATCGATGAATTTGGCACGCTTCTCTTCCACCAACAGTCTGTCAATGTATATGTCTTTCTCGGTGCTGACGTCGATCAATCTTAAGCCGAGCATGGTGTTAGCAGGAGAGAAGTGGTCAAACACCGATTCGACGACCACCGAGACGAAGTTCTTGTCCAGCACCAAGTCCTTGAACCTCACACAATCGCCTACTAACCAGTCGTTGTTCATTGGTTCTATTCCTATTCATCGTTAAAAAAAGAAAGTTATTGCTAAAACTCGTTGAAAAAATAATTCAAGTAGAGTTCAATTGTAGGAAGAGCGCTTTTCTCTTACCAACAAGTTTTGCCTTCACTGCCTGATACGGCAATCTTAGGAACTCGCTTTTCAACGGCTGCAGACTACTGTGTTGCACTATCGTCACATCACCGAAGTCACAGAAGTACACAGACACTTCATTATCGCTGATAATATTGGTGACGTATACCCTGAAAAAAAATCAAGTGAGTTAATTGAAAAACTGTTCTCTCTTCGCGTAACTGTAAAATAATATGTGTATTATCTATGTAGATTTATAGATCTATAGACAGAGATGTGCGAGATCGCATACCTGTACCAGTCATTGTTGAATATCCCCGCGTAGAGCATGCCCTCGCTGACAGTTTCCAACAATGGACCATCGTATGTGATGTAGCACTTTTGCAGATCTTCCATCATTGCCTGGAAAAAGATAAAATTCCGATATAAAGATTTATTTTGTTTGACTGCTTAAGCTTCAACATAGGCAAAAAATATATGCCTTTGTACGTACTTTCAGCTCATTCGCATCATTTAATGGTTGCACGATAAAGTGTCCCGGATGTGCGGCCAACGTTATGTGAACGTCAAAGTACTGGCCGATATCCGAGATCGTGGGCGGATTCAATTTACCGACAGGCTCGAGGGCGCGAGAATTCCTGCGTTCCACGCGTTTCTTGGCCTTGATATTATTGTTGCTGTCTTCGTTGACTCTGCAAATGTAATGATAAAGCGTTTATGATCAAGCTTAGAAACTAAAGGACGCAAGAGCAGTGGAACAGAATACAAAGAAATATGAAACACAAGTCGAATGTGACAGACATATCCCTCTCTAAAAAAAGGCATATTATTATTTACTTTTGAAGTTTCTTTTCGTTGTCATCGTGATGATTATCGATCGATTTATCTATCATCAAGTTCGCGTAGATGATTTCGTTTATTATCGATCAATCGTCATAGAGATGATTGCGTTTGACAGTTTGTAAGAAAAGAAAAAAAAGCGCGCGTTACACGTGCGCACGTATGTCCTAGTAGTTATAAAATATACAAAAGACGCAACAATAAGACGATGCATTCTTGACACAAAAAGGAAGCTTCATTAAGGGGGATTTCTACCTTGTTAGGCAAAAAAAATCGTTTTTTTATTGTATTTTTTAAAAGGCTGGGACTTTGAGAATATGTTTCTAAAATGGCACGAAGATACGAATACTTACTTTAATAGCTGGCTGTCCAAGTTCACTGCTTGATTAATGGAGGCCAGCATGTCATTCGTTCCGACTCTCTTAAATATCTCCACCACCGGTATTCCACCGGATGCTATTCTGATGACTTTTGCCAAAAGCAGATCCGTGTCCGAGACTAGTTCGCGGAATCTGGCCACGAGCTTATCGTCATACATCGACGGAGTGATGGTGTCCAGATAGATTTGTGTCGCCTTGTTTTTTTTTTTTTTACGCAAGTATATAAATATTAATGTTTTATTTAAAAACCCATTACATTTTTTTACAAATAATAAAGAAATAAATTTTGGTTTTACCTGCGGAGGAATGCACTGTAAAGTCTTTGAAAAGTTCTCTATTGGAAGCAAGTTTTCCTCGACGTCGTGATGGTTTTACCAACATCAACCAGAAATACCGTTACTCCATCGTTGGGGATGTCGGTCACCCTCGCTCTATACAGCTGTGAGTTCCACTTCACAAGATATATCTTTGTAAAGTTAAGTGCCTTCAAAGAATTCGCTGCATTGCTTGCGAATGCTTGACATATAATCTCATCGTTCAACAGAGTCCTGACGAGCGTGTCCAACTGCGCATAGACCTTACCGAACTTGTCAATGTGTGTAACATATAATTTGATTAATTCTCCCGCCTGTGAAAAGAAATGGAACATGATTAAATTACAAAAACGAATGAACCCTTTGGAGAATTTTTTAATATAATCGAGCAGCAACTTCTGCTTTTGAAAAGTGATGTTTTTTTTAAGGAAAATTTATAATTCAAATTTTATTCATGCAGTTAGGCATATTGCTGCAGCAAAGGATTAAACGAAATACGAAATCGTGGATAATTACTGCGGTTTTAGACGAGGCGATGATGTGATTTAAAATTTTGTCGAATACAATCTGGTTCACATTTTCGTCCGCGTCCTCTTTGCTGGTGTCGTAAAAGGTCACTGTTGTAAAAGAACCATATTCATCGGTATCCGTGCTGTGCACCGTCGCTAAAAACATGCGATCGGAAATGAGATAATTTTCAACTTCCGTAGTCGCCTGGGCGTAATCTTGAAAGACCACCAGTTCATGAAGAGCCACTCTAATCGCCTGTATAAAAATACACGAGTGCATTATTAATATTGTTAGCGCAAAGATCAAACAGAAGCGACAGTGAATCGACTACAGATGCGTCACCTGAGCGGGAAGGATGCAGAATATCTTCTCCAAGGGATGCAGCAAATTGGATTTGTACTGCTCCTCGTATCCCTCGTCGATGAAGAAAACCGTGACGAGTCCGGCCTCGGATTCTATACACTGGACTCGATGCCAATAGTCGTCCTCTTGAACGGCGTAAAAATGGCCGACGATGCATCCTGCTGACGCCGAGGCCGATTCCTTCTCTTGACTGTAGTGCTTCTTCATATCGTTCATCATGTCGACAAAGCTGTCCTGCAATAAGACGAATTTAGCTTTTATTTGCGAAACGAACAAACGGATAAGCAATGCGGTCTCTATTTACATTGTCGTCGCCAAGCCGGACCCAGACTTCCTTGGTGTTCACGACATGAGTGACGCACACGTGCCAGATAGTCGCTTCTGGCACTGTCAATTTATCGGGCGCGGCGGGCCCGATCGGACTCAACTGTATCTTCTCACCAGACAGACAGATGATCTCAGAAGTGTCTCTGGACGACGGGTTGTTACTGTCGGATCGCTGAAACATCGGGAGAAACATAACGCTTAATTTCCAGCGCGACACTTCGCCTCGAAATGAAGAAAATGTATTTTACTTTCAATTCCTGAGAGGTTCGGCAAAGTATCGTCAAATCGCCGACGCCCTTCTCCTGGTTCATCTCCGTGCATTCCTCGATAATCCTCTCCCAGTTGTGAGGCAGAGCTTCGCCGTGCTCCTTGTTATAATATTCGGGCAGCAGATGCATGAAGATTCCACTGTGGTGTCTCGTCACGATGTTCAAAATCCGCTTCTTCACCACTGTCGTGTCGATGGTCGTCACCTCGGGACTCGCGGCCTCCTTCGTGAGGTTCACCAACGCCAGTCGCGCCGCCATTTTCTCAGCTTCCTGCTCGGTGGCCGCGTCTTCTGGAAACGTATGGAATGTGTGCACGCCAACCTGCAAGGTGCAACGGCGAATTAATAGGTAAAATCGATTTCTTCCGGCATACCGTGTAATTCAATCAACATTTTTACTTTCACACTGGCGTAGATGGTGACTTTGACAGAATGTTTGTCTTTCTTCGAATACATCCTGTATACAGGTGATGATAAGTTCATCATATTGGCACAAGTTTCCAGCTCTTTTCGAGGATCCGACACCTAGAACGGAAAATACAACTGCGTGAGAACACATTCAATCGGATTGCTATTTTTTTTTCCTTTCTTCTGTCAAAATTTCTCTTACTTTTGACATATCGATGATAGATTGAGGGGTCGAAGCGAGGACGTTTCCATTATTGCCGTTGTTATAATTCCTAGTCGGCGACGAAGGTGTTCGAGGAATATGTGTGGGAGAAATTTTGAGTCTGTCGCTTAATTTCGTGGTTTTCGATTCCGCAGTCTTTGATTTCACGTTTATCACAGTCGTGGCTGCTGTCTTGTCATTTAATACTTTGCACTTGAAGTTCTCGATAGTCTTACAATTATTGCCGTTTTGATTCAAAGTCGCTATATTTGTCACTTTATCTTTCAGTCTCTAAAAGCATTAGTGCGATTAATAAGACTTATCGGGAGTTCCAAAATGAAACTCTCAATTTAAATCTGCACTTACTTTAGTTGGGGAAACTGGTGGTGTAACCGGACCAAAGCTTGGGTTCTCGCTATTATGCGGGAACGGACACTGCACTCTAGTTCCCATGAGAGGCATTATAGGTCTGAAACATTATTTGTCATAAATATATAAAACTATACATTTATGCAAGAATTATTAAATAAGTGTGCATATTTTTATTAAAATTAATATTTATATAAAGATAAAATATATTAAATTTTATTAATATTTCAAAAACATTAAGTTTTATATTAAATTTAATATAAAAAAATTATAGGAATTCTTTTGGTTATCCAATATATTAAAAAATTTTAATTGCTTAATAGTTTCTATAAAGTTTACAAAGATTTGTAGCTATTGAAAATAAGATAGCATTTTGAATGAGAATAAAGATAAATCATCACTTGTTAATTTACATTGCATTCATTATTTTAAAATACGATACACTTGTTCCAATTACCTGCTAAAATCTGTATATAAGCTACTCTTTCCAGGCGTTGATTTAGTAAAGGAACCAGGAGAATCAACGTAGCTGCTTTTAACAGATTGAAAGTTGCTAGAATTATTGGTTCTAAAACCAGGTGAGAAACTTCTGGCGGCATAACGAGGTGGACTCCACTGAAAAACAAATCTACGATCAATCACAGTGCAAATGCAGCAAAACTTATCACACGCTTCAGTATTAAAACAGAATTAATTTAACACAAAACAATAGCTTTCATCATTAATTTGCGAAAAACAGAGATCAGATAATCATTATTTCTCCAATCGATATTTATCGAAACTTGACTATACCGCACAATAACAATCATGTTCGAAGAGACGCAAAGTGACAATTACTTTTTTTTTGGATACTTTTCGTCGTGTGCTCTTCTGCCGTGAAATTAATTTCGTGAGATGTGCCGTGTTCTTGGAGGGCACAGCTTCCACGTACAGCTCGCCATTTCTTTTGGTCACGGTAATATCCGGTATAGTACGTACGAAAGCGTCCACCGTGGGGTATCCAAATTGTCTGTACGGTAATGGTTCTCCCGCGATCATACGGTAATCCGCTAAAAAATATAACAAAAATCACCCTTATTTCAATAGCTGAAATAAGCAAAATCATAGAACAATTGTGAGAAAATCAGCAGATAATATATACATAATTTGAGACATGATTGTATTTCAAATTGAGCAATCATTTTCCTTACCCCATAAATTGTCCAATTTGATACCGCCTTTGCACGATATCAAGCATGATCGCAAATTCTTCACAACTTCTTCTTGATCCGTCATTATTCTCTCTCACAAAAGAGAGATACAGGAGGAAGACTTCAATATCAACTATACTAATTGTTCACCTAAAAAATATTCAATCATTGTAAAAAAATAATTTATACATTGTAATCAAAAGATTCTGAAATAAAATTATCAACTGCAAAGGCGCTACAGAAGAATCGTGAATAAGAAAGGATTAAATCACGAAAGGAAGAATGAACAAAGAAAAGTGACATAAGCATAAGAGGAAGGGCATGAATTCCTGGTAATCTCAAGATTACAGCGTGAAGTGCGATAATTTTATCAAAGTTTATTCAGCATCAAATATCACTGTTAGAGCACATGTTCAATTATAAGACTTTATATAAGCAAGTAATGACGATATTAAATTTTTATTACAATAACAATTTAAAATAAAGTAAAATTCATAATAACCTGATAACAAGCTAAAAATTATTCGTATCTTTCTATTATTTCTTATGAAATAAACACTATCTGAGTGCAGACAATAAAAAAAGAAAAAAATATATTTCTAAATAATTTATATGGTGCATCTAGTCCAAGCTTCAATATTATATTATATCCATCATTTATGCATGCACGCTTTAATTGTAACCTTGCCAATTTTAGATTTACTTCGTTAATATGCCGAATATCCTATACTTCCCCAATATCTAATACTTTCACCAATTTTACGCATTTCCACGCTTGAAAGAGACAAGATGAGAGATACATGTACCCAAACGCATCATGCAAATTGCAATCTTTTGTAAATACCGTACGTTGAAAGAAAAATATCAAATCGGCTCGACTCACGTTTGAACGGAACGAGAGTTGACAAGTATGAATTAACGACAGGTAAATAAACACGACTTTGTTGCGATAAGAAGTTCCCGTATTGCCATATGCCGTGTGTAATCAACGGTGAAAACTTGCGCGAACGTGATCGAGATTACGACGACGCGTCGCGACAAGTTGCGCACGGTTATTCGTCTGATGATAAATCGGCCAGGATTTCAGCATTTACGGCGGTAATTATGTACGATCGGGCGTACGATTGTTATCGAGGTCATTAGGAAATGGGGGATATACGTACATATTACGTGCAGGAATGTACCTTCTCTCTATCTCTCTCGTACGCGCGCGCGCGGCGATATTTCGCTCGCGGTTGCCGCGTTGGAGGACGGGCTGAGCGATCGAATTCGTCGTATCTCAGCCACCGGCGCAATTCTTCAAAGTTGCTCATTCAACGTCGACGTATCTCGGATGCGACCATCACTTGGGCCCTCTTCTCGCCTCCTGGTGCCCACTCACCTTCGACCGGCTTTCGTAAATTTCTCTTATCAGAAGAAGCACCGCGCGTTCGACCAACTACCTCTGAACTCGGTCCGGCCGTCGATGTCTCGCGAGGTAATCTTTTTTTTCTCTCGCTTTCTCTTCGTCCCGCGCGGCAACCTATCCGATCGCCCAAGTGGGTCGCAGGCCGGGACTGCTCGCCAATCGTGTGTCCGCAATCCCCGGAAATGAGATGGCAATAAAAAAAAACCGCGCTGCGCCGCGCGAGCGCGAACGCGAGTCCGATTTGAAACGGCGTTCAAAAAACGCAACGCGTAATCGCCAAGTCAGCGCTAATTGAAAGAAAGTTTTCAAATGCAGTTTCGCATAATTCTCGAATGCTTAATACTGCTAGTAGCTTTTTTTTACACATATGCAAGCTCAATCAAATAAAATTTGTGAAAGTAACATTACAAACTTGTTTTGAAAAATTATTTGAGTGTTTATTCTATAATAGTATTTGTTGTATTCACTTTTCTCTTTTTTTAATGCAAACAATACTAATTTATCAACATTATACCTAAAAATTTCTAGCTTACAAGATAATAAGCAATAAAAACAACTATTTTATCAAGTTTATCTTATTGTTAATCGAATAGTTCATCTCTTTACAACTTACCTTGGAAACAATTTTTGATACAAGCGTTCCTAATATCAATTTTGTAAATAATGAACAAGTACGCATCATTTATTTAGAAAGTCATTTTATTGAGCAGCGACTCGAAGAAATGTTAACGCTAACTAGAAATCAGTCTAACTACCAACATAACTAATAAAAATTAATGTAAAATTAATGTATTGGCAAAACAAGTTGGATTTTGAAATTTACGGCAACTTTACACTAGTACAGCAACAATGACCTACCTATACTTAACTCAACTACCTATACTTAAAATATAATCAAGATTGAAAGAATAAAAATCACGGTACAAAATGCGATAAGGAGAATACTAGACTTAAAAACTAAAATGCATATAAACTTTTCTTTATCCCCGAAGAAGAGGATTATGTAAGGCTTCTTATGATAAAGTTGCTCGAGGTGAGCTACGTAACTGTGTCCTTCTTCCATCTTCTGACGCGAACTGCAACAGATAGTGTTAGTAAGATCACGGATATTTCAGTTAATTACGATTTGTTATTAAGGATGTCTTTCGCGAAGGAAATATCAATGAAAGGACAATAAAAAGTACATTCAACGAACACAGCGGTCGTGGAAAAGCTGCTAACAATTTCCTCGTGATTGTCGCATGCTATTTCCAAACTTGTATAATTCCTATACGCATCTTGAAACTCGATCGCTTTAACTAGTGTGTTCGATGAATGTTAATTGTCATGTACCTTTAAAGAAAAATTTATTTTCGTAAAAGGAGGATAAGCCCTTTTACATTTGAGTTTATTTTTATTCTTTTTTTTTTTACTCCTTTTTAGGAGCAACCGCTTGCTTGGCTTGATGGGCTTGCAGTACAGCCACAGCTTCCTCGACCTTGGCCTTCAGGGATTCGTTGTGCTCCAGCATGTGAAGCAGCTCGCTGTTGTCAATCTCCAACAACATGCCGGTAATCTTGCCGGTCAGTTGTGGATACATGCATTGTATGAGCGGGAACAATCGCTCGCCCAACATCTGCTTCTGTTCTTGCGGTGGCGCCGCAGCCAGCATCGATGCAGTGAGCGGTTCCTGACCCTGAATGTGTACTGCCTGCTGCACCGAAGGAGTTTGTGCAGGAAGTGCCATAGTTGCTTGTGGTGGATTGCGCATGTTCGCGGTGTACTTGTAATTTGACGGACGGCTCTGACCGGGCGAGACCCCGACAGCGGGCCCGGCCATGGAACGACTCTGCATATTGGCGCCACCAACCGCTTGTTGACCTGAAAGATTACAAAGTATCAGACAGAATGACAAAATCTTACTCGAGTAAATAAAATAACAGTTAAACTGTGACTCGTTTAGTTGTAAACTATTATAAATATGTTACCGCAATATTCTTCATAATACAATAACGCACAAATCGGAGGCGACTGATGTAAAAAGCATTTGCATTTACATTATGTTATATTCGCACACTTTCAACATAACTGTTTGGACAATTTAGATAATTGACTTTCACAAAACTGTCCGTTAAAATTGAGTTGAATAATTTCGGGTAAATCTCGAAAATTTTAATATGCACAAGCGTGTTGAAAGTCTTGAATATTTTGAAGTTCTTGGAGGTCAATAATTGTCACGATATAATCCACATGTATTCTCCTCCCATCTGTATGTATACACATCTTTACACATACAGATGTCTGTTATTGTTAGTATACGAATCATTCGCCGTTTACAATTTAATTTACATAAACGTTTACGATTTAAGCAAGTTCAAATTTCCTCCGGCAGCGATTAGATCCAATTTTCATGAACTCATACTTCCAACTAGGAATATATTTACGAATGAGAATCCGTGGTGTAACACGTCACCAATCGAGATATTCAAAATTCGCTTTGTGAAAACGTCTGTATTAATAAATATATATTCATCTTATTTTCGTTTTCATGAAAGTTTATCTCGCTACTTTCTTTTCATTCTTTCAACGTATTGGAATTTTTTAAATTACTATTTATTTTCTTTATGAATTTGTTCACAAGATACACATATTAAAAATTGGCAATGCACTGGATGTCAAAATGATCACAGAGGTATGGAAGTATTGTAGGAAAAATCCAATGACAGAATCACAGATTTAGACTTTGTAATAAACGACTTGAAATTACTCATTAATAAAACATTTTATTATTAAAATAATATAAAAAAATATTTCTTTTTTCCTCTCTTGTAACATTTTAAAATTGCCTTCTATTTTATTGACAGATATAAATAGAAAGGTTTAGTCAATACATTAATATTTTATTTTTAAAGGAAAAAAAACATCTCGAAAATTGTTTTAGATGATTCAATATCTAAGAAAAAATTCTTTGGTCCTTCGTGTCTTTTGATACATTCAAGACTTTCACTTTCAGTTCTTTCGGTTTCGAAAATTCGAAGCAGTTTGAAATATCTCGAATCATTCTAAGACACATTTTGTACTTTGCTCAAGGCAATCTCCGATAAAACAAACAGTAATAATTGAATAGTTCAACCGTAAGCACAAATTGTACGCAGTGTATAAGTCGTATTTCTAAAACGCCTGTTTTTCCTACCTGTGATGGGCCTGGCGGACATGCTGTTACGCAAGGCACCAGCTTGTGCAGCAGGCGCGCGCGGCGCTGTTCTGAACGGTGCTTGCATCGAGGTGAATCCAGAACTACCAGTTTGCGCATTCGGCCGCACTTGATTCGGTTGCGCCGGCCAACGCGGAGTGGCGCGGATCTGCGCCATCTGAGCGGGTCCGTAGAATCGCTGCGGTTGTGGCAGCGTCGGCACGAAATAACTGCCGGCGTTACCGGGTTGGAATATCTGTCCCATCTGTTGCATGCGCACGTTCGCCATGCGCTGCATGTATTGCGAGGCGAGGTGTGCCTTGCGGTCCTCCTTGCGCTGCGCTTAAGGCGACGTAGAGCGGCTTCGAGCCCACGATGCGTCCGTTCATCTCTGTGACCGCCTTAGTGGCCTCTTCCGGCTGCGAGAAGCACACGAAGCCGAAACCCTTGCTACGTCCCTCTTCCATCATCACTTTGGCGGATGTAATCGTACCAAACGGCGTGAACTCCTTACGCAGGCGTTCGTCGTCAATAGTGTCATCCAGGTTCTTCACATAGAGATTGACACCCTGGTAGCGATTCAGACGCTCAATCTTCAGCTGTTCGAACTTCCGTTTGAGCTCCTGTTGGCGCTCGGCTTTCTTCTGAGCGCGTCCGACGTACATACACTTGCCCTCGGCAATTTCCTTGCCATTCAACTCGAGCACCGCCTGTTCAGCGGCGTCCGGGTCCTCAAACGCGACGAAACCGAAGCCGCGCGACTTACCGTCGTCTTTGCTCATCACTTTGTGGCTGGTGATGGTCCCGTACTTCTCAAACATATCTTTGAGCTTGTCATCCGTCATGTCCTCACCGAAGTTCTTAACGTAAACATTCGTGAACAGTTTGGCCTTCTCGCCCAATTCCTTCTCGCGTTCCTTACGCGGAATGAATTTACCAACGTACACCTGCGCGTGCAAAAAGTAAATATTAGTTGGCTCAAAACAATCCGTCGATTGACTTTTATTAGACGATAAAAAGCAATTACTTTTACCTTCTTGCCGTTCAATAACATGCCGTTGACCTTGTCGATAGACTTGTTGGCAGCTTCCTCGGTTTCAAAATGGACAAATCCGTAACCCTTGGAGGCGCCTGACTCGTCCTGTGCAACTTTACAACTCAATATGTTGCCGAAAGCGGAGAAAGTATCGTACATTGCTTTATTGTCGATGTTTTTATCTAGATTCTTTATGAATACGTTTCCGACGCCGGATTTGCGTAAAGACGGATCACGCTGGGACCACATAATTCGAATAGGCCGCCCCTTTATCATGTCGAAGTTCATCGTATCAAGGGCGCGTTCGGCTGAAACATAAACATACACAAATGTATTTCATGTAACGTATTCTTCCTGCAAAAGTAGCATGAGATCTCAATGCCGGATTATTCAAAGCGGATTCCTTATCATTAAATAAATTCATCTGTGTATACATGTGCCTTGCAATTGTGCAAAGCTCAATAATAAATGCATCTGTAGAAGCTCGAGGCAAAACTTTTCGATTAAATTAAATTTTGACCTTTTGTGTTATTACAAGTGATATCGAAGGAATAACCACTTGTCTGATAAGAATTTAAGATACGCAACATTAATTCAATAATTAAAAAATGTGAAGCAGCGATATCAAACTGATAATAAACGAAAAATGCTTAAACTTTGACCAAAGTGCATGAATTATTCATTATTATTTCAACGATTGATTTCCAAGTGATTGCGTTTGCAAAAAAAGTCACGTTGCAAGGTTTACAGACAAGACGGAAACAAATTAATGCGAAGCAAAAATAAATCCGTGAAATTAAAATTTCCACTTATTATTGCGTCTGCAAATTCTGTGGAAATAAATAAAAATAAAATATTAAAACGACGAAAAAATGAAAGCCTTATACTTCACGTGCAAGTTACAAATTCTGGTTTTTTCCAGAATCTTCTTTCAAAATCCGTTTTTACCGTTCGTTAGATCTGCAGGTAGCAGACGAATACAAAATGCAGGTAGTCGACAATGGATGAAGGAGAAAATTCTGTCAATTAACTTTTACTTTTCACTATCTCGAGATGCCTGACCGACCGAAATACAAAGGCATTCCATACCGAATCTGCATCCCAAACCATTTTTCCTTCCAAGAATTTCCTTCTTTCCGTTTTCTACCTGCTCATTGTATTACAAATAGCGATCCCAAGGTTAAACAAAGGCGCCTAACATAACGGCCATCTGTTTCCTTGAAATTCTATTTCTATGATCTTTTGCAGCTGCATAGCTGAAATTCTGAAGAGAAACGAAAATGTAAAATTACACAATTTAAATAAAATTAATCGTAAAACACAGCATCATAATTTACGAGATTAATTTTTTGTGTCGCAAGCCACATTGGCTCGAAACATACACACGACCTATTCATGTAGCTATATTTTTTCCAATGTTTTTTTTTCGTATTTTTCTCGCTCGCTCGCTCGCCGTTTGCATTTCAAGCATGCGAAGAAAGCGTAAATCAACGTTACGCGATCGAAATTGCGAGGATTCGTCGTCCTTTCGAAAGATCTGAAATCGCGTGGCCGATGACGCATTTATTTCCCGAGATAAGGCGCAGTAAAAAAAGAAAAATACCTCCCCCCACCAGCGACGATTAAACCGTTAACTACCATTACGAAGCGCGAGACGATGTGAATCCAATATGGTGGACGCAATGAGCCACGCAGCGCAGCACGTGTGAGCGGCGTGCGAATTCGCCACGTTGCGTCATTCTCTGGATTGGGCAATGACACGGGGAAAAAACGGAAAAAAAAAATAACTCACCATCGGCCGGCTGCTGAAAGTTGACGTACGCATAGCCCAGGGAACGGCGGGTGATCATGTCGCGGCATACGCGTATCGACAGCACAGGTCCGGCCGACGAGAACTTCTCGAACAACATCGCCTCGGTGATATCGGTGTGTAGATCGCCCACGTAGAGCGAGGCCATGGGATAATTGGGTGCGCCCGGATTCATGGTGGCGACGGAGTATCAAGGCTTCGTTATCGCACCAGAAATTAGGACAGGAATGCCAGACTACCCTTCGCTTTTCGCAAAAGGGACTCGCTTCTTCACCCCCTACTCCTCAGCCTTGGCTCACAATATGGCTCGTCTTCGTACGACTTTGCACGAATGTGACTGTTGTCCGTTGATCTAGCTCGTTGTTGACGTGCTTGGGACACTTCTCCACTTTCTGCTATTGCCGTGTGTATACAGCCTGTTTCCCGCGAACGACGATGCCGACGACGACGATGACGATTACACTTATTTCTCTTTTTTTTTATTTTATCTCACCACGCTGCGACGGTTTTCGCCTACGGTTTTGCGATTTTTTTGTATGCGTTTTTTCGGAGATTTTTTTACTTTTTTTGGGTTTTTCTAGGAGAGTTAGTTTCACGAATGGACGTAAGTTGTGTGGCCTATTTCGAGGAAAAAGGAAACACACACAACCACACGTGAACACAACTCTTGTTCTTGCTTCGGCAGAAGAGCGTCGCAGACTTCCTGCGTGCGTTTATATACTACCGACCGCGCCACCGCCATCGTTCCATTTCCGGCGAAATAGTCCCTGCTCGTAGCGTCATCTATGTTAGATATAGGAACATTTCATCAACCAAATCAGCACCAGTAAATCATTAAATTTGATTGGTGAGTACTTTAAAATGTACTAATCAGATTCAATCTCTCATTGAGCTCGGCACAGCGCTGCATTCTGCTGAACGCTGTCAAAGTCTGTCCTGATTGGTCGTATCGCTTCGCACTAGTATTTTTGCGCAAGCAAAGATTAATGCATCAAAAATAGCGCGCGTGTACGAATATAATTTCACCGAATTCGATGTGTTTTAACCAATAGTTGGATATTATCACACAAATTTTAATTTTACTTAAATCTAACTCTTGCAATGTACTTACGATTAAATATTGATTATTGATATATTTCATAGGAGTATAATAAAATAAAAATATATTAAGCTAGACATCGAGCTCCTTCGATTTTCCCGGGCAGTACCTTCGCCGCAAATGACATTCCGCCATTTAACTTTAACGAGACTTTGCCGTGAGACGTAGGTGAACGGATTTCTTTGATCGTTGGTAAAAGCGTTCTATCCCGACGATGAGTAAAAAACCTGTGAACTTATTAATCAGTAAATACTCAATTTCGAAATCTACCTTCAGTAAAATTCGATGTGCTCTTGTTTCTTTACACGAGCGATATCGATGGTAAAATACAGATTCTTACATAACACATTTGTTCGTTTCAGACAGCAACTTCAGAAAGTGGTGCTACAATCTCTGCGGATTTAATCAGTATGGTAATAAGAAATAATATTCTGTGAACTCTTGTCACTTGCAACATCAATGTCAGTCATTGGACTAATGTGCCTAACCTAATCCTACATCACTGGATTGATGATACATTTAAAGACTGATTTTTAATCATTTGTTTTATTGAATTATTAAAAATTAATACTTGACGAATTTTAAATAGTATACACAACAATATTTCAGCTATTTTTTAAGAATCTAGCATACATTGAATACATTGTCTAATTTGGAACAGCATAGTGAAGTCTTTTGCGTTGCCGTATTCTGAAACATTGCTAATTGAATATACAATGATTTGTTACATATTGATTATGCTTTAGATATTGAGAATATTTGTATCTTTTAGCTGTTTCCTTAACTGTATGTATCAGTTGATCACAACGGGCTAAAAATTAACAGAATAGAATAACTACATCGAAAGTTTAGAAAAGAAGGAAACATTTTTAATATCTAGAAATAAATAAAAAATGTGTCATGTATATTTCCAATATAAAGAAATTAATACTAACAAGAGCATGATTATTTATACATATATTGCTTTGACATAACACTTGACATGATTCTACTATAATTTTTTTGTTCAGGATTGATGAGAGATGATGTACTTTATGAGAGTGAAGATGTAAAAGAAGCATTAAGACGTCTTCCGCAAGAAATCAAAGATGAGCGTACCTTCCGCATAGTGAGGGCCATGCAGTTAGATTCAAATAAAAGAATCCTGCCTAAAGAGCAGTGGACTAAATTGGAAGATGTCAGTATGCGCGCATTAAATATTGCTATATATCATTCAATTAATATGTCAATAATTTATTAAAGAAGAAATGTTTTGCAGGATGTGCTGTACCTTCAACCGTACATTTCGGAAGTTAGGAAAGAACGCGAAGAGAAGGAGAAGTGGGACGCATCCTAAAGTGTAACTTAGCCGAGTTATAGTAAATGTAAAATTTATTCCCTCTCTAATGCACACTTTTCAGTCGTAAATGAAGAGCTGGTCTGTACATATATATAAGAATATATAAATATGGTAAATAAAATACATTCGGTTACTTAAATGACTGCCTGAAACAGCGTTGATTTTAACGTTTTGAGATAATGTCCTTTTGGTTCCATTGCGATATCCATCTTATTTCCTAAACAACCATCTCCAAATATAACGCTGATTCAATTTAATAATAATTACAAAATAATTATTAGCTTACTGTGTGAAAAATAATAACTGAATTGGGGATGGAAAACAATCGGTAATGATAAAATATACAATACATACAGCATTCCTGGTCGCTTTTTCATCCATTTGCGATTCAGTTAGTATTCCTTACGTAAGCATCAATTATCAATCATTTAAGTGGACATGTGCAACGTGATAATTGAACAGTAATAATATTAATGGCGTAATGTGTTTTATCTATACGCTGCACGAATATATTTTATTGGAATAAGAGAAAACATAAAGCAAATAACGAAACAGAGTCGCATGTTACGTAATGAAATTAATAATATATTTATTAATCGATACAGCGTGTGGAATTTTTTTTTTATAAAGATAGGACTTTCTTTAATTTTCGAATAGATTCACAAATTGAACTTTAGAGTTGCAATTTTATTTTTTGCTTAATCTCAAGTACAAAAAATGGCGAAATTTTTTGAATGATATATGTTGAAGCATTTTATTGAACAATTTAATTATTATATTTATGAGATTTGATAAAAGCTACAACGAGAGTATTTTATAGACACCGAATCGCTGTCGATTTTTTCATGTATTATTTTTTAGAAAAACTCGGCAAAAGTCAAATTTTTGCAATAAAAGCCGTTATATTCTCTCGCATTTTCAACTTTAAGTATCTTTGTATCAATTCTAGAATCAATTTTTTAAAATTTATTTTTTAAATTGATAGCTTATTGCGAGGAAATTAATTTTATTCGATTTTTTTCTCAGTATTCCGGAAAGAACGCGTTCTGCAGACTGGATATTCGTGGGAAAATGAAGGAACGGACAAAAAATAGAGCTTTAACGAGACTCGAATGGAATCACGCCAACGGGGATCGTCCATTGATCGTCATTGAGCCGCATCATCCCTCGCGGCATACGTGCGGCACGCGTTTCGCGGGCAAATCGACGGATCAATATCTCACCCCCACGCGGACCCGAGCGGAGCGGCCACCGCCGCCGAGAGGAGCGAGCGGCCGCCAAAGTTTCAAGAACACGTCGAGGTGATTTCATGTCGTTCAGTGAACGGCTGCGGTGCGGTGTTGCTGGGTGATTCCACTGGTCGCTGGCGGTCCTTCTGAAAAAGAGCGAGCCGCGCAAGTGTGTGCCTCAACGTGCCAGCGAGTCCTCCGGAGTTCCTGCCGGATGATCCCTCGCCGCGTGATCACCGACGTAATGCCAGCAACGTGCTGAAGGACACGACGCGCGTCGGCCAGCACGAAAAATGATTCGCAACGTGGTAATTGAGTCTCCTCGTCACTGCGACGGAACCCCAACCGTTTCCGTCGACCTTTGCCCTTTTCGTGGACCGGTTTGACCGGCCGGAGGGTTAAAAATTTGCCACCGCTTCGTCTCCGGCGCGATCACACATTCGACCGTTCCGCGAGACGTGTACAAATCGAAGGGAAAGAAAAAAATTATTTGCGGCATTCGTCTTTTGCATCCGCCGAAAATCGACTCCGAATTTCGTTCCGGCAAGCTCGTCATCGACAATGTGGTGCGGGGTTGAAAATTTTGCACGAGTTAAGTTCTTTCACCGTTTGATGAATTTCATCGAGCCTTTCCAATAGTGAAATACTTGGGCATATTACGGATATTGCAAGGGTGCTCTCGTAAATTTCGTGAATATTCAATGAGATCCGTGACAATGCGCTATCAGCTTTTCTATTGCTATGCAGTCCGAAGATCGAATTGCGGAGGATGACTCAGGGGTCGCGTTGAAATTTGCACGGGGTGAGACGGCTTCGATCGTTCTTGTCTTTCACGCTGTTGCGAAACTCGTGTTCTCTCTTTCTCGGTGACATTTCGAAAATTCAGATCATTAGAGAAGAGTGCCGGAAGATTGGGGGATGACGTAAGAACAGGCTCGTCGGTATCGCGTGGAGGGGGAGGAAAAATTGGTTGATGTGTAACGATCGAATAATGTTCGCAAGTGCATGCAATACCGCATTTAACCGGCAGTCGTGTCGCGACTATATCTTAATTTGGTAAGAAAATGTCGCGAGAAAAAATGGCAGGGAAAATTCGCGGAAGTCAGTGCCGTGATCAAATCTAAATTTTTTTTATTTTTACATTACGATTTAATTGAGTTTTTTAATTAATCGAAATTCTTTTACTTGAGCAATTAAAATTCTTTTCTACCTTTAGCTTTTAACATGCAATAGTGACCTTTTACATTTCACATACATGTGGTTTTTTTTTAATCGTTTATATTTTAATCTATTACACACACATAGAGGAAATGTGTCAATTATAATACTTTAATTAATGCATTTTTTCATTAATTGACTAAATAGTTTATTTTTTCTATTTTTTGACAAATTAATTTTAACTAAAAGAAATGATAAATTTTTGTTTTATTATCAAAAGCAGCAAATTATACGATTTATGTTTCAAACCTGGTGAAAAAGTAATGTGACACCTGCATTGTAAAAATTGTAACATTAAGAAAAATTATGTATTACTATCAATTCTGAACGAAATCTTGTTGGTTTGCAGATGCGGAAAATGCAGCGACCGGCGTGTTTCCACCCGAGGAAAGCGCTGACAGAAGAACCTAGAGAGAACTCGAATATCGCGCGTCGCAATTTCTTCAAAAAGCATGGCGATTGTAACGAGGGTAGTCAGTCAGTAACCATACCCCTCGTACGAGCACATTAACGACACGCGACGATTGTGCATTATACAAACGTGCGACGGAAGCATCACGATGTTAAATAAGTCAGGTGCTGCGCCAAAACACTACCTCTGCTACATGTACAAAACTATTGAAGAATTGATCGTATTAGGGCTACAATGAAAATATAGATACATTATTATATTATAAAAGAATATATATATATACATCATCCAAGTGTATATAGAAAAAGATATATTCTGATGGATAAGCGTTTACACACAGTATTGATATAACGTTCCGTATGAGAAAAGGCTCTTCCTTGTGCTACGAGGTTTTCTTAATTGTTGTATAAGAGAGATTTTGAGAGAGAGAGAGAGAGAGAGAGAGAGCGAGCGAGCGAGAGAGAGAGAGAGAGAGAGAGAGAGAGAGAGAGAGAGAGAGAGCGAGAGAGAGAGAGAGAGAGAGTGAGAGAGAGAGAGAGAAAAAGAGATAGAAAAGGAGAGAGAAAATAAGGGTGATTTTATTTGGAGAGACAGAAAGAAAGGACAATGATTATGCATCCCAGTTTCCTGAAAAATACGCACGGTTAGTGGAAAGTAAAGTGCATAGATATCCACGCATCAAACACTCACTGAGAGCTCAAGCAGATTAGTTTTAAGTTAAAAAAGTGATAAACGATGAGTATACCGTACGATGAGAGCTTAATCTGGATAGTAGTAGCCGGCTTCATAGTGGCGTTCATCCTGGCATTCGGGATCGGCGCCAACGATGTCGCCAACAGCTTCGGGACGAGCGTCGGCGCCGGGGTGCTCACGATATTCCAAGCCTGCGTCCTGGCGACCTTCTTCGAGATCGCCGGTGCCACACTGATAGGATACAAGGTAGAGGAATTTCGTCTGCATTCAGTAACGTGAATTTCATTCATTCATTCTCAGGAATGGTTGCGTGATTTTTTTTCTACGCAAGCCATTTAATCGTATGTTGTGGGATTGTTGGAGCTGGAAAACATTATGGATATATAGTTATTATTTTCCGAAAAAGAGGAAGAAGTTAAAAGCGCATCAAGGAGTCAAGTACTATTAAATTATCGTAACGTGAACTTGGTTTTTCTCTTACAGATTTAATAGGCGTGATCCATTCTCTCGGGTTAACAGTTCACTCTTTCAAATTAATTTTACTCTCGTTTATATACTTCGTAGCTAAAAAATCGCGTGAAATTTGTAAAATAATCCGAACAACGGAACTGAGAGCTTGGCTCGGAAAATTCGTTCTAATCATGATAATATGTCTTCTATCCGCGGCAGGTCTCCGACACGATGCGGAAGGGTATACTGGACGTCTCGCTGTACGAGGGCCACGAGAAGGAGTTGATGCTAGGGGCATTGTCCAGTCTAGCCGGATCCGGTATCTGGCTACTGCTGGCAACCGCGCTACGACTTCCAATTTCCGGTACGCATGCCATTGTTGGTGCTACAGTCGGATTTTCGCTCGTATGCCGTGGTACCGCCGGGGTTAGTAGCGCTATGACGCGGTTGCGATGGTGAACGCGCGGACCCGCACGTTAACCCTTGACCCGTTCTGACGTCGCAGGTGAAATGGACGGCTCTCATAAACATAGCGGCGTCCTGGTTCGCCAGTCCCATACTCAGCGGAGTAGTGTCAGCCGGTATCTTCTGGCTGCTGAGAAAATTCGTGCTCCACTCCAAGAAGCCGTTTGAACAGGGTCTCTACATTCTCCCCGTAGTGTACGGTCTCACCGTTGCTGTTAATGTTATGTCAATTGCGCTTGATGGACCTAAACGTGAGTATCTCGTGGACGATTGAGAGAATATTGTTCCCCCCAATTCCCACCTTGCAATCTTCAAAATCGAATGTTCTATTATTAAAACTACACGTAGAGCTCGTTTTTATTTCGTTTTTGCATTTCGATCGATCGAATAAAATAACAAGTATATTAATAACGAAGGATATTCTATTATTATTATATAATTTAGACTAGTTGTAGTTTCAATTAATATAAAAAAAATTATATAAATTACGCCAAGCAGATTACAGTCGTTGATATTACGAATATTTTTTTCTCCTCAGGCAAGATATTTTTTTATAATTTTTAGTATTAATGCTGGATCAATTGCCGTGGTGGGGCAGCCTGATATCCGCGCTAGTATTAGGCACGATTGTCGGGTTGATCGTGTACGTGTTCGTGGTGCCGTGGCAGAGGGCGAAGATATTGCTGGATATGGCGAGCAACGACGACGCGATGGCCGCGCACTTCAACAATTGTCAGGACAAGAAGGAGACGACGGCGCTGTCGGTGATCTCGGAGGCTCCCAGCAGCAGCAGCAACGGCAATGCGAGGTCCGAGCTGACGGTGACTACGCCGCAGCTGCGCGGCAACAGCAGCGAGAGCCCGTTGCTGATGGTCGCGCAGGCGGACGCGGAGAACGCGCAGATGGAGGCGATGATGCGCGAGGAGCAGCCGGAAGTGTCGAGGCTGTTCGCCTTTCTGCAAGTGCTCACCGCGATGTTCGGCAGCTTCGCGCACGGCGGCAACGACGTGAGCAACGCGATCGGACCGCTGATAGCGCTCTGGGCGGTTTACGCCGAGGGCTCGGCGCGGCAGGAGGCTGAGACGCCTATATTTTTATTGTTGTTCGGCGGCCTAGGTATTTCCACGGGACTGTGGGTATGGGGACGCAGGGTGATAAGGACCCTCGGCCAGGACCTTGCGCGCATCACTCCCACATCTGGATTCACCATAGAGGTACATGGAGAAAGATGCTTGTGGCGATTGTTTTTGCGAGAAATTTCAAAAGTTATATACAACTTTTATGAACGAGAAGATTAATTTTTCAATTCTTTTCCTCGAAAATGCTTGCTTTCGAAAATAACGCCGAGTTTAAATGTACAATTTCGGTGCGTAACTTGTAACTTGTTTGATTTTAGGTGGGAGCCGCGGTGACGGTTTTGCTGGCGAGTAAAGTTGGCTTGCCCGTGTCGACGACACACTGCAAAGTGGGATCGGTGGTGTGCGTGGGCTGGGTCTCCAGCGGCGGCGAGGGAGTCTCGTGGAGGCTCTTTCGCAATATTGCGTTCGCCTGGGTGATCACCGTGCCGGTGACCGGCTGCCTGTCCGCCGGCTGGATGGCCATTTTCCGCGAGACGATTAGTTTGTGATTCCTCGCACAGTCGCGGCCGAGAGGTTTTAGACGCGCAAGAAAATACCATCCAAATAACTACTGTTGTCAATAAGTTCTGAACAAATAAATGGTCGAACAGAAAACACTCGTCTGCTTCGTAGTCGCCTGCTTCTCCTCTCAAGTCCACTCGAAAAAACAATCCTGAAGGGAATATCCCGGGTATTTTTCTGCCGGTGGACCGATTTGCACGGCGATACGGAGGTTAAATCGATACAGGGGAGTTGTGCGTTGTTATAGAGATACGTTCAAACAAAGTCTCGTGGCGAGCGAGCTGAATCGACATAGCGACATAGCGGACATGCCGGCGCCGGAAGACTCACTGTCAGCCGCAACGTGACACTTCGGACGTCGGTATGGCGAGTCTGCCCCTTTTACCGGGCTACACTTTTCGGGATGTTAGCGTGAGTGCCCGAATAATTATACGCCGTCGTAATTAAGCTCTTTTTTTTACTTTCGCGTTTCGAGAGAATTATATTATTTAGGGAAACGCGTGGGCTATCAATCTTCTATACCTCGCGGGATGTGTGCTTTAAATTGGTATTCTTGTAAACTGATAGGGAATATACTTGAACTTTTCATCGTTTCATAAGGTCAAGGATTATAAATTGCCGCACAAGCTCGACGTTTTCAATGGCTTTCCTGTAGTGCGCGACGCCAATTACGGTATCGGCAGGAGACCGACGGACGCAGCGTCCGTTCGATACGCCGAAGCTCCGGATTCTGTGGAGTGAGTGATACAGAGCTGTATTGATTACTAAAAAAAAAATATCATTATTTTTCGTCGCACGCCGGTGTCGATTACAGCGATATGCGTATGACGTGTTGATTAAAATTATTAGAATCAAATTAAAAGAATTATTTATACGCAATTTTAATTCTATACATAAAATATAATATGTATTGTTATTTTATTGATACATGCGTACACAGGATATCATATTGCATTATTGAATCAAGTATGGAATTTATTCTAGTTTTTCGTCACTGTTCATTTATTCATTCACAGGTACGATTCATCGTTGACTTACGGCCGGGTGCCTCGTTACGCGTATCGGCAATTCCTGCCGCATTACGCGTTGTTCGCGCAAAAGTCCCTTCGCTTTAAGGCATTCTTTCGTCAAAAAGTGTTCAACTCCCCGGACGAGCACTATCGCGTCCGCCACGTGAACATCGTCTACTATTTAGAGGACGATACTATCTGCGTGATCGAGCCCGTGGTGGAAAACGCCGGTCTCCAGCAGGGCAAGCTGGTGAAGCGTGACAGAATCCCGAAGAACGCCAAGGGTGACCTGTTCATCTGGAAGGACTTGAACGTCGGAATCGATGTGTGTACGTTATCGTTAAAGATGAGGAAAAAATGTCACATATACAATACCTGCTGTTTAAAAATTTATCAAACTTTCATCACCAATATATTTCTGGTTTAATTAAAATATAATTAAATTCTTTTTCTAACAAAATCAGATAATAAATAGTATCGCTCTTTTATGTCGCACGATGAAATTAATTTATATTATTCTGAAAAATAATATGCATAGCATCAAATGAGTATTAAAATTATTAGAATTAAATTAGATAGCGTGAGACGATCTATGATTTAACAGAGCGCGTTTCTCGCTAGGCATTTACGGCGTGGTTTATCGCATCGTCGACTGCGATCCGTTCACCCGGGAGTTCCTCACGAGCCAAGGTATCGACGTCGGTGAGAGCGAGAGCCTGCCGGCGGATTCTTACGCGTTGCAGCGCGACGACAAGCGCAGGATGCGAGCGGTCGCGCGATCGACGGCGGACGACGCCCGACGGCGCTTCCTGGAGTACGACGGCATGGTGCTGTCGTTCGACGCTACGTGGAACGGCGATCGCTATCGGCTGATGTACTTTCTCACGGACGATACCGTGGCGATCCGCGAGATCCACGCGCCCAACGACGGCAAGGATCCCGTGGTGATGCTGCTCCGGCGGATGCGCGTGCCCAAGGACTGGCAGAGTCTCCCGTCCTGGCATCCGAGCATCTACATGGAATACGGCGATCCCGAAATCGTCGAGTATTACACGCCGCGAGATTTCAAGGTGACATTATCGCCGCTGCTTTGCGGACGCGATGCGTTTACGCTCCGATCAAATACAAAGTCAACAAAATTCGCGAACAATAAGACAATGTAATTCGATCGTTTTTCAATTGTTGCTCGCATATCGCAGGCTCTTCCCAAACTCAGTCGTCCCGCGAGACTCGGGCGCTTGGATTCAACAGACTTCTCATAAATCGACTGAGGTTCACAAAAGAGCTGGCGACACGCGCTTATTGTTCTCGCAATTTGTTTTCAGGTGGGCGAAACGATCCTCGTATTCGGCCGACGCTTTCTCCTGCACGACTGCGACTCTTTCACGCGCAAGTACTACTCCGATATGCTGGGAACACCGCAATCACCGGCGATTCCGCTTCCCTCGCGGACGGAGAGACCGACGCCGTCGACGAAATACGCGACGCAGCCGCCGCCGCCGCCGCACATAAAATTCGGCAGCCCCGAGGACACGTACGCCAGCTGTCTCTCGTTTCTGCCGAAGCCGCCGAAGAAGAACGTCATTCGTCAGCTGGTGAACTTCCCGAAGAAGCTGCGCTACTCGGCGCGAATGGACGCGGCGCATCCGGAGGACGAGGACCGCGAGTTCGTGCTGGAGTACAGGCTGAGCGACGGCGCCATGCAGATCAACGAAATCGAGAAGCGCAATTCCGGGCGGCGCGAGGGCTGCTTCCTGTCCGCGAGGCTGATCCCGAAGCCGTGCAGCGCGGATAAGGACGATCCGGAGTACTACACGCCGCAGGACATCTTCATCGGCGCGCGCGTCAACGCGTTCAATCATCGCTTCGTCGTCACCGGCGCCGATCTGTTCGTGTACCGCTACGTCGAAGCGAACGCCGACAAGTTTTGCGAAGAGGTGCGCGCGAATCTGCGCAATTATTTTCTGCAGCAGGGCGTGCTGCAGGACGACGTTGACGTCGAAGCTGGAAAGATACAAGAGGCGAGGGATGAACGGATGCTCTTGGCAGATGACGCGGAAATCAACGACGTTGACGCGAGAAAATGTGCTGAGGAAGAATTAACGGCTTAGTTAATCGATCGAATCGGCATTAATCGGCATTAAATCGCTTTCCTAAATCGATTCGACCTGCGTCGTCCGCTGATAAATTTCGCTGAGCAACTTCTAGTTTCTCATCGAGATGCCTTATGCAGAGCAATTCTGAATAATATTGACAAACCTCGCCGGTGAATCCTTGACAGAATTACGGAATCAATTTCTCTTAATCGAAAACGTCAAACTGTCAACGATTTTTAAGTCGCTTGCGATTGTAGAAAAGTCAAAATAATCAGTCAGAGAAATTGTCAGAGAAATACAAAAACTTATTTTTTATACGCGCTTTAAGAAAATTTCAAGCAAGGATCTCACAATCTTGAAACGTCACAAAAGATTGGCATTTTAACTTGACAGAGAAATCCACTCTTTATCAACTGAGCAAAGGATTCGCGCGCAAAGTTCATTTATATTATTCCTTATTATCGGTCTGCATAACGGTTGCCGCCGTTGCCAAGGATGTATCATACAGTGAAAGAAGCAGAGAACGGAGATGCATTTAACAATAAGAATCATATCTCATGAAATGTCATCAAATGGTACAATAATAATAATAATCGTCGTCATCGTGTACATTACAGTAGATTAATTGCAGTATTATTTTTCACTTCTCGCTATATTACTCTCAATTCATTTCTCTCTCTCTCTGCAAGTCCATGAATAATATAATAATAATAGGTGATATATTTTTTTTTTCGCAATACAGATATAGATTACGCGCTAAAATAAACGCCAATATAATTTTTTTTTTTATAATTCATTTCGTGAAGCATGATGGGTTATAAATACAACTGAGAACGTTGTATGTAACAAGCCCCTGCACCTTATTAACAATTAAGGGGGGATTCGACCCTTCTGTATAGCTGCAGGCACCAGATTAAATGTTCATTGGTGTTTAAAACGATATAACCGATCCAAATGACACTTGCTTACAATATAGTGTTCTCGTATAGATTTTTTTTCCATTTTCAACAAAAGTTTAAGCATTTTACAAGGATTAGTCCACATATTACAGTCCCTTATCTTTTTTTCCTCTCTTCAATACCGCGCCTCGCTTCTTCCCCTCTCTCTCTCTCTCTCTCTTCCCTTCTCAACCTCTTTCTTTCTTTCTTTTTTTCTTTTTCTCTCTCTCTCTCTTCATCTCTATCTTCTGTTTTGCGATTTGTACGTTTAAGAAACACCTTCGATGAATAGCACGCAACACCACACTATATCGCTTTATAACCGTCGGTGAGTTTAGCCAAATATCCTTCGAAATAGTGTATCGACCTCCTCATTCCTTCTCATCCTTCTCCTTTTCCTCCTCATAATAGTTGCGGTTACATATTATTTTACGATGATGCCGACGTGACGCTAGTGTTATCTCATTATCGGATTAATCATTTTGAACGAAAGGACAACGCGCGGCCGAGGTGGACGACGAGTGTTGCTCGCTCACGGGGAGTCAAGAGGAGCCCATTGTGGATCCGGGAAAGCAAAGGTAAGTGGTAGGACGTGATAATTAGTCGCAACGTGCCTCCTTTACGTCGATCACTTCCGTCAATGGCTCTGCGTCTCAGCGCTAGGTATCGTCACAGCAATATCCAGCGCTACTGGCGCGGCGGACCTCCCCTGCCACCGCGACTACCGCGTTCCTGCAACGAACATAACATTGGTCTCCGCCGGGGAATCATTTTGCGAAGATGATTTTCTTATCGCAAGCGCGAGTGAGATTGGAGAGAGATCGTTTACCTTGCGCTGATGCATATGAGGTTGATGACCGTGCTGATGATGATCCCTGGACATGTCGACGGCGTGTCCACGGTTCCTGTGATTGGACGAGGAATGGTGATGCTGGATGACGCTGCTCGGTGCCTTCCGCTGATCCTCCTCGGCCTGCCGGCGCTCGTAATGCCCGAAGTCGTCGAAGATGCTGGTGGAGTGACGGTAGGTGTGCAGTATGCGCAGCACCGTCACGCCCTTCGCATGCGGCACCTCCTGAGCGTCCCGCGAGTTCGTCACCGGCTTATTCTCGTTATTCTCGAGCTTGATGTGCCGCAGTTGCACGTTAGGAACATCCTTCACGTATATCCAACGGACGCGAAACTGGCCCTTCCACTTGTCCTGGGACCAGACACTACTGTTGCACTGATAGTCAACGGGGGAGACCATCTGCGCCATGCCGCAAAAGTGGCCGGACCCGTTGACGGAGAAGAATAGATAGAGGGGCGCACCCTCGCGACTCGCCTCGCGGTAAGCCTGATCCAGCCGCTTGTTCCCGTGCTCCGTGCTGCACCAGATCTCGTATTTAATCGACCGATGGATATCGTCCTCCGAGTAAGACTTGATCACGAAGAACCTGGCGCCGGGCGCGGTCTGATCGAATTCTACGGGGTTGTAGTCGTTCTTCACCTTAAGTTCGTCGAGGACAGGATGCGACTGATTACTCGGGGTAAGCTGCTGCTGCTGCTGCTGCTGCTGCTGCTGTTGCTGGGATTGCTGTTGATGCTGTTGATGCTGCTGTTGCTGCGATTGCTGATGCTGATGCTGAGGTTGATGATGCTGTGGCGGCTGATGCTGCTGCGATTGCGGCGGCATGTGTATTTGCGTTTGGGACTGTGGCACCGATTGCACCGCCGTCGGCGTCGTCGCTCCGACGGACGGCTGCCTGTTCCAGCACGGCTGCGGCGGCTGTTGCTGCGGCCGTTGCTGCCTCTGGACGGGCGGCGGTGGCGGAATCGGCGGTTGCACTTGCGGCGGCGGCGGTGCCGTAGGCGGCGGCGGTGCGGAAGACTTGCCCTCGCCCCACGTCCCGATGTCCATGTTATGCTTGCCGGGTACGATCGGCGGCGGCGGCATTCCCGCCTTCTTCTTCATCCCCTGCGTGGACGAGAGCGGCGGCACTGGTTTCGCCGGCTGGCTCGCCACGCTCGCCCAAGTGATCTTTCGCGGTTCCTTCGGCTCCGGCTTGATCTGCTGCGCCGTACTTTGCTGCGGATGCTGCTGATCTTGCCGCGGTAGCTCGCCACCACCACCTCCACCACCGCCGCCCCCGCCAATCGACAGACCCTGCACACCCTGCTCGATGGTCTTGATCTCGCCAGCGCCGCTCGCCGCCGGATTGCCATAACTCTCGTTCCCGCGTGGCGGCTGATAGTAATCCTCGTACTTGGTCCTTCTCGGTGTGCCCCACGCGCTAAAGTCGCCGTTGCCGTGGAAGTAGTTGAACGGCGGCTGGCCGAACGCGCTGAAGCCACCGCCGGCCGCTGAGGCCGAGAACATGCCGTCCATGCCATACGCATCGTGGCTTATTTGACCGCCGTAGCCGGATAGAAAGGCGACCGGATCAGTGCCGTTCGACCACGTACCGTCGCCGGCGCCAAAGGTCTGATAAGGGAACGTACTGCCGGCATAGTACGGACTGTACGGATCGCCGGTGCCGATCGGATAGCTCGAGTGGTGCTGAGCGCTGTTGCCGCCTCGCCACGAGTCGAAGCCGGTGTCCTCGCCAGCGGCATGCTCCGTCTGCTGTTGCTGCTGGTGTTCCTTGGGACCATTACTCACTGTCCGAAACATAACTGCATTTACTCAGCATTCAGAGACATGTGTCGCGGTTACGCGCACACCTTAAAACCAGCAGCCGGGGAATCATTAAGGAGCATTATTAACGTTATGCGTTACGTTTCGAGGTGAATGTAAGCTCACATTGTGTGGATACTAAAACAGTACATTAAAATAAGAATTTACAGCTCTTTATTGTCATCTCTTATAATTCAAGTTACATTTATGTATACAAGTAAAATTCTTTTTCATTACCTTCATTCAAGGTACATTTACGAATAGGATCAACTGAACCAAGTTTCAAATTTGCTAGAATGACAAATCAATGCGAGTTCTACATAGATTTAGATTGCTTTCAAGGTGCAAAAATCTTTCTGTTCCAGTCTGAAGAACATTGAAGCCAGCTCCAATTTCTTTGTTACGCAGATACAAGTCGCTTTCTTCAGACTGTTTTTTGTTCAATGTGTACGCACAACTATTTCTCCAAGCATCCAACTGTTATCAATTGCAGTGTTATTCTCTGATAAAGGAGCTCACTCTTTGTTGTTCTTCATTCAACACATTCCTACTAAAAAGCTTAGACATCAAATACACAGCGAGAGAAAGACAAAAAGGAATTTGTCAGCATCGTTGCTGGCAAGGTACTCACCTTGATTGCCGGTTTGTCCTTTCATCCGCTGCATGCCGTCGCATGAAAAAACATACAAAATTTAGAGAAGGGCCAGTCTTCGGCGGCGTGACGACAATACGGATGGAAGGAGAGAGAGAGGGGAGGAGAGGCACGAGAGAGAGGAAGTATGTGTCAGTGTCTGCTCTGTGTACAGCGGCAGAGCGGCAACGGCAAACGGCACGATGTGTAGAGCGCGTCAACACAACACACTGACCTGGTTTGAGACAGCACCTGCCAATCCGCTTGACATAACCTGTGACTCGCGGCGGCTGCCTCGCGTGTCGTCGTCGTCGTCGGCGGCGGGCGTCGAACGACGGCGGCGGCGGCGCCCGTGTCAAGAGAGGACGAGAGCTGGATTTGTAAAGGATGGTAGGAGTCGGTGAGTCCGCGAAACACCGGCTGATTACGGGAAATCGTCGGTTCACACACCGCAATCGCCCGATTGTTTTCGCCCGTACGCGCTCTTCACTTCCCTCGTCGCACGTCGCGGCCAGTTAAAACACTCATCCGTCGCGCGCGCGGCTAAAACACTTCCGCGATCTTGCTCTCGTCGCGTACGGCGCCTGCTGTTCCTCCGCGCGCGCGCCCGACGTCGTCGTCCCGTCAGCGCCGAAAGCAGATCGAGGAGCCTAACCGCGCACCAATTGTCCTCGGCCCCGCTCACGAGAGTCCCAGGACGGTTCGCTGTTTGCACGTAGCCCCCGCGATACGACGGGCGAACGAATTCCTCGGCTTCGAGTAATAACTACGTGACGTGCACTGACCTCCCGTATTCACTCGCAGGCGTGCCAACTCGCGCCCGGCCAAATGTCACTATTTTTGCTTCGTCCATTAGGGTGTATTCACCCAACTTGCATAATGCGTAAGTATATGTCTGGACATACTCCTATGTGTTAAACGATCGGCTTTTGGAAATCGGACCCAACTCATGGATCTGATGAGAAAGAAAATTTAAATATAATGCAGTCATTACATAATAATTTATATTTACATATTAGGAATAAAAATATTGAAGATTCCAAGTAATTTTAATAACAAAAATTTTTTTAAATATAAAAAAATATAGATCATAAAATGGTTTGTCTTATAATGAAATATTTTAAATTACTTAATTTTACACAATGTGTTTACGTGGCAAAATTGAGAGAGAGAGAGAGAGAATGATAACTTCTTTGATTTTTTTATTAATCATAATATATATATATTAGAGATAAGATTACAACTCTAAATGCTATGGCCATAGAGAAATTTTTTAGAAATTGTTAATTTAAATAAATATACCGAAGAATAATTGTCATATTACACGATGAAAATATATCATCTTTAATCTGCTATATTAATACTGAGAGAGAAAACAAAAGTTACACAGATACACTCAATAAATATAATATGTGCGATGATTTGATATCTGTATTGTACGAAAATTAATTTATTAGTCTCCCGCATGCTATTTATATATACATTAACAATAATATACATATTGTCAGACCTAACAGAATACATACATATTTCTTAAAATCAAGGGAGACTTATTTCTAATACAGCAAAAACAATGGGTCAATATGCTTGCATGTTGCTTTGTCTCTAAACAGCATGATAGAAACGTGCACACATGCCTATGTCCTGTATCGCATATGCGTTCACCTTGATTGTGATTGATCTTGTAAGATTGTGGTAAAAAGTCTTTGGTTATACTTTCTTACAGCAAGAATGGGCCAAGACGCTGTTTAATAACACGTTTAATAACACGCTCCGCTCTAATGAAACAATTATCTCTGAGAAACTTTTCTTTCTTTCTTTTTTTTTCTTTCTTTTTTTTCATCTGGGAATTCAATTTCTAGTCAACCAGGAGAAAGCTTTCAAAATAAAGTACGCTACAGTTGCAAAATATAAAAACTTGTCTCTCTGCTGGCGATGCAGCATATCTAATTCAAGCGCCATCACTCTGCGATTCAACTTGCCCACTTGACGGCGTAAGTGTTGCACTTCTTCGCTGGGTGCCAGAGACACATCGAGAACATTATAAGCGGGTGTTTGTTCTCTGTATACAAGAGGGAACACTAAATAAGTAAAATATTCTGCACAAAAAGTTTCTAATAGTGTAAAAGTCTGTACCTGACATGTCTCGTTATCTGTGTTTCCGAATTATACGTCTTAGGTGCAACATCCACTGAGTTTAGAACTTCATTAGAATGCGCAGCAGGTTCCTCTTCATCCACTGCCGGAAAATAATGATTATCCAAAGTCAAAATTCTCGGAGGAGTCTGTGGATAAAGATAAGCATTTAATGACAAATTTGCAACCTGCTATTTTCTCAATATGTTACCTGCACTCTGACTATAGCAGGCTCAGTACGCATTACGGCATTTTCTAAAACAATTTCTGGTGGTGGTGCCTTGGTTCCGACATGTTGCTCTTGTCCTGTATAATAATAAATTTATACAAGATTATTTTATTTTAAATAAAAAATGCGATAAGATCATAAAGTACTTGCTTATAAAAATAAAAAATAATCCATTTAAAATTGCATCATATAATGTAAAATCTTACCAACAACGAGAATCCTGTCTGGTACATGCATATCAAATTTATCCATAGCTGATACTTGATTCCACATTGGCCTACTCTTAACAGTAATATCCTCCTCTGTATAATCGCTATTTACACGAATGCTTCTGGGAACTTGCATCCGTTGATTGATATCCACAGAAAAATTTGGATCATAAAAGCCATCTATTTCACCATTAAAATGTGTAGGACTATGCGTTTTTGACATTATAACTGAAACGAAAATATTTTATTATAAAGATGATTATATAAAATCAAGTACAGTACTATAAAAAGTACTATTGAGTCACATCAACGCGTCTTGACAAAAAATATTTACATCACATGCAGAATAACTTACAAAACGACCATGTTTGCCAAATCAACGATTGCTATATAAAACCAAAGCACAGTATTAAAAAAGTGTAAAGTCACTTCAATGTTTTCAACAAAGAATTTTTACATTATAAAAAATAATGTACAAAACGACTGCGTAATTTAAACAATTTGAATCGCAACAAGCTAACACAATGCGCAAATGATAAATCGCAATAACAATGTAAAAGTATAACCAGTGGTTCTCGTTGACACTGAGATAATTATGTATTTACACTCCAACGTACAAAGGACACTGCTTTGTTTAGCAATGACATATTTTCTTTGCGCAAAAGGCAGATCTCACAAAGACAGATCGACGGAATTAGTACTTGTATTTTCTTTTATCCGCAACAAACATGTTAGATGTATGGTTATGAGAGTCATCGTCCAATTACGGATTACTCCGAATTCGCTGAGTTTACATTACTGCCCGATCGTGAATTAACACAAAACTGTTAGAGACCAATGCAAGAATCAACGAGTGCCAATCACGCGAACGTCTTGTCGGGGAGAAAGAATATTTACCCTCTTGCACCTCGTTGTTCGTTAAACATAAAGACTCCACTCCGAAGTTCGTTACGAATTTGACGGATAAAAATTCATGCAACCCCCCTGGTCATAAACTAAAATCTCAAGGTGATATAACTTAAGGGCTCTTGCACATGAAATGCTAAAATTAAAGGCGACAACACAGACTGCGCGGAAGAAACGATGACCAATCATCTCCCATTTTTTATTATTTGATCGATCTCGAATATTTATCTTGCGATAGATATCGAATTGAATAGCTCGTTTGAAACGCGAGATATCGCACCGGCGTTTTCTTCGAGATTTGTCTCCCGCCAAAAGCTCGCTGAACTATCACGACACGAAATGCCATTAGTGTGCTTCTGCTGACAAACACGTTTTTACAAAAAGAAGAATGGACGATTCACAGCGTAAGTAAATCTCCGAGAGTTACGTGAAATAACAATACATTTTTGGCTAATTATCATGCTGTAACAAATGTATTGTATGTCTTTCAACACCTGTACATTTTCTTCAATTTGATAGCATTTATGTTTTTTGTTTACATATATCAATTATATTACAACACTGAATATAAATTATTCGAATTTTCAAGAAATTACTTGCTTTAATAAATCTCAGTGAACTTTAGTAAGCTTTGATAAATTAAATATAATAAACTTTGGTTTTATTATTATGATTCATGAAAGAATGGCTTTGTCACAGCTGATCTGTCACAATTGAATGCATTACTTTGCACCACATTATAGTTATTTTGCTATGAATAATTAAATGCTAACTGTAGTTTTGTTCTAAAATGTTTTAGCATCTTCCTCCAGCAGGCCCAGACGTCAGAAGACCGATAAGGCTGGCAGGCTCTCGGCTTTGGAAAAATTAAAGGAATTTCGTAGTGGCAAACGCAGATATGAGATTGAAGAGTTAGAAAATGTGTATGATGAAGTGGATGAAAAAGAATACAGTAATACTGTTCTGAAACGTCAGCGAGATGATTGGATAGTTGATGATGGTATACAATTTCTTTCACATTTAAAACAATAAAAAATATTTTATTATAATTAAAGTAGATCATGTTAAAAGATAGCTGAAATATAAAAAATTTAAAACTAAAATTTCACCACAAAATTTGCTTTATGATAATGAAAGAATATTGAAACATTGAATTCAAATTAAAACATTGTAGGAGGAAGTGGGTATATCGAAGATGGAAGAGAGATTTTTGATGACGATCTGGATGAAGAAAGTATTCAAGAAGCGAGGAAACAGAAGCATAACATGGCTGGTCCTAGAAAGAAAAGGAAGCAAGAAGACAAGAAAAAAGGGGATATTCAAAATATGATTAGAAACATGCCTTCTAAGAAAGGTACAGATGTAGTGATCAAGGATGATGATATTTTGGGAGAGTTGCTCAGTGAGATTTCAGCAAGCAAATCGACAAACAGTCCTAAATCAGAAGGCAATAGAAATAAATTTTGTCATACAGTTCACTCAAATGCTACGTAAGTCAAACTATTCTTGTGTTATGTATGTTGTTTTATGTATGTTATCAGTTTTATAAAAGTTAATCGTAAACAAATGATTGCAGACAAAAGTATCAGTCTTCGAACATACAGAAAGAAGCAGACAATAAGAAGATATCTAAAAAGTCGGGAGAGCAGGATGTAGGAAACTTAGTAGAATCCAATAATGATCAAAGTGTAAGTCAAATAATCGAGGATGATGATACAGATCTGTTATTTGATCCCCCACAAAAGAGTACAAATAAGTCTGCAGTGTCAAGTAAATGGTCAAGCATAAAAAAAGACTCGAAATTGGAAGAAAAGAGCACAAAAAAATCAGTGGAATCTAATAATATTGCACAAAGTGCAAGTCAGATAATTGAGGATGATGAATCCGCTACGATAAATCTAAGTGAATGCGTTGATGATGTAAGTTATCTATTTTTTCATCTTTATATCGTTTATATAGAAGTAAAACTACATGCGAAACATATATTGCAGCTATCTACTATAGATTTTGACGACGGCAGCATGGATGTCGACTTTTCAACACCGGCAAGCAATGTTAAACCTCAGAATAACGGAGTGGACACACAGAATGCTGCATGTAAAACTTCTGTCAAAGGTATAAAAATTGGCAATGCCGTTGATTTGACAGAAGTAGCGCCCCAATTGATCAAGACGAAGGATGAGGAAGAGGTGTTCAGGTTCTACTATCTGGATGCGTATGAAAACCCTTACAAGAATCCCGGAACTGTGTATCTCTTCGGCAAGACTTATGTCCCGAGCCATGATATGTACTGTTCATGTTGCGTTATGGTGCATTGCATACCAAGAAGAATATATCTTTTGCCTAGAAAATACGTGCGTATAACTTTCGATTGCACATTTTCTTTTTTAAACTCTTATTCAATATTAATAATTGAAAAGTATTTTACAATTATTGAATTGAGTACAATTTCTTTGTATGATTGTGAATTACAGAATTCTAAAAATAACGAATTAACCACTATGGAGGACGTGTACAAAGAGTTCGATGAATACGCCAACAAGATGCGCATAATGGAATTCAACTGCAAGGAAGTAAAGAAGCATTATTCCTTCGAAAAGGAGGGTACGCCGAAGATTTCCGACTACCTGGAGATCAGATACAACGCGCGTTATCCAGCGATCGACGCCAATTACTCGGGTCCAGCGATCGAGCGTGTGTTCGGCACGACGGTGAACGCGTTAGAGCAGCTGCTTGTCGAACGAAAAATCAAGGGGCCTTCCTGGTTGGACATAAAAAATATATCGCCCACCGCGGGGCGATTCGCCTGGTGTTCGCAGATAGTAAGTGAGCGCGTTATTAATTTAATGAGAAACGAATTTGATGTACTAATGCTGTGATGCAACAGGTGGTTACTTCGGACATGAGCAACATATCGCTATGTACCCAAGAGAGCTCCAAGCCTCCAATGGTGATAGCGACTTTGAACGTGAGGATGTCTTTAAACACGAAACTGCAGAACGAAGTGGTGATGGTCGCTGTGCTAATTCATCACAAGTACAGTGTCGACAGAGAGCCACCGAAACCACCTTACGATCGTCAATTTTGCTGTATGTTCACTTTCACATTTCCCTTGTTTGTGTTATTATCATTAATAATTAGACATCTTTTGTGATTTAGTAACGAAAAAAAATTTGATGCTCAAATAATGTGAGATATTTGTTCTCCAAATCGTAGAATGATGTTTTTCAGTCTATTTACCAAGAATGAAGATTAATTTGTGGTTTTTTTATAGTTGTCACACGCCCGCGAGAGATTCCATGGCCGCGGCAAGTGCGGGATACCTTTTTGAAGGTCCCGAATACCGAAGTAATCAAGTGCGAAAACGAAAACGAATTGCTCGAAGAGCTGTTGACTCTCATGCAGAAAGCAGATCCGGATTTGATAATAGGCTACGACTGCGCATTCCAGTTTGACGTCTTGATGCAGAGAATGTTTGCGCTGAAAGTGTCTAACTGGAACAGAATGGGAAGATTAAAGTCAACTACACCTCCTCTGCTCAGGGTGAATATACTTAGCTAATTAGGAAGAATAATAGAGTTAGTATGCCGCGTAAAGATTGAACGAGTAAGACAATAATATCTCCGCAGGGAAAAATAATGCTCACTCAAGCGTTTGTGGGCCGTCCGATTTGCGACATACAAGTCTCGGCGAAGGAATTGAACTTGAAAGTCAGGAGTTACGATCTGCAGTCCCTTTGCGGCGCAGTAAGTCACACGATATTCACAATACCGCGCTCTGTTTATCTGATCTCGAATCGACGCGTTCACACACCTTTTGCTTAGGTACTAAAGACGAAGGAACACGAATGTAAGGAAATCACGCCGGCGGAGACTCCGTCGTTCTACAAGACGGCGGATAAAATAATAAGTCTAATGCATGCAACGTTGAAGGAAGCGAAATACATTATAACTATAGTGATGGATCTCAATGTTATACCGCTCGCGCTACAAATCACCTGTTTAGCCGGTACGCTTTAATACGATACTTTACCCTCAGTAATGCAGCTGCGATTAATTCTGCCGAATTTCACGCAGGCAATATTTTATCGAGGACGCTGTTGGGCGGAAGAGCGGAGAGAAACGAGTATTTGTTGCTGCATGCTTTCCATCTGAAAGATTACATAACGCCGGACAAAAAGATTGACAAGAGAGGGAAAGATGAGGGTGAGATTTTCATATACTTTCCATCTATTATCGCTTTTGCGACGCTGACGCCACGTACGTTTCAGATGGTCCGCGCAGGAAAGCCGCGGCGTATACCGGAGGTCTCGTGCTCGACCCGAAGAAAGGTTTTTACGACAAGCTTGTGCTGCTGATGGACTTCAATTCTTTGTATCCGAGCATTATACAAGAGTACAATTTGTGTTTCACAACCGTGCCCGGTGCAGCGTACGCCGACGTCGAGGTAATCTTTTCTTTTCACACGTGAACAACGCTGTTAAATAAATAATCTTGAGTAAAATGTATGATTTGCGCAGCAATTAAATATCCCCGAGTCGGATCTGGAGGCCGGCGTGATCCCGACTGAGATTCACAAGTTGGTCAAGAGCAGGCAGCAAATCAAGCAGCTCATGAAGGCGCCGAATCTATCGCCGGAGCAGAAAATGGATTACCACATCAGACAAATGGCTCTGAAGCTGACGGCCAATTCCATGTACGGATGCTTGGGAGCGACGCATTGTCGGTTTTATGCTAGAGGCCTCGCCGCTCTGGTGACGGGTAAGATGTGAAGCGGATATTTAAGATACGGCGTGGATGTAGCGCGTGAATTGACCGTTGTTCTTCAGCCAAAGGTCGGGAGATTTTGGAGGACACGAAACACTTGGTGGAGAAACTGCAGTACGAAGTAATTTACGGCGACACCGATTCCTTGATGATAAATACCAACATTTTGGAGTACGACGACGTGTTCTCGATCGGTAGAAAGGTGGGGAAGAATTTCCATCGAATTTCTATCGCGCAATTTGCGCCGTCTCGTACGTTGACTTAAGTTATCACTTCATTTACTTTTCCAGATTATGAAGGAAGTTAATAATCGATATAAAAAAGTCGAACTGGACATCGATGGAGTATTCCGGTATCTGTTGCTCTTGCAAAAGAAGAAATACGCCGCTGTTACAGTGACGAAGTTGCCAAGCGGTCAGTTGCAGTTGACGCAGGAGCACAAGGGTCTGGACATCGTAAGGAGAGATTGGTGTCCGTTGGCCTGCGACACCGGAAAGTTAGTAAATATATACTCTTTGTTTTTAGAAAATGTTAATTGTGCTCAACTTTCGCTTAAATACGATATTGCTTCCTTTTTCAGAAAAGTTCTGGATATACTTCTCTGCGATCAGTCGAGCGAGACGCGTCTGGAGCAGGTCGTGCAAATCCTGCAAAACATCGCGAAAAGCGTGAAGGAGGGAACGGCGCCGCTGTCATCGTTCGTCATCACCAAACAGTTGTCGAAGAATCCGGACGCGTATCCAGATAAGAAACAGTTATCTCACGTGATGGTAGCACTGAGACTGAACAAAGCCGGCGGTCGGATGTGGAAAGCCGGCGATACACTGCCATATGTCATATGCGAGGTTGCGATTTTAATTCGTGAACTTTTCAGATTTATAAAAACACAACTATCGAGAAACAAAGATAAAGATTGTTACTGTTTCAATGCTAGGACGGAACCGAGGCGAGCGCAACCGAACGAGCGTATCACATCGATGAGGTGAAAAATAATGAGAAATTGAAGGTGGACGTTAATTACTATCTGTTGAGTCAAATATTCCCCGTGATTTTACGCATCTGCGAACCGATCGAGGGCATCGACGATGTCTTCTTAGCCAATAATTTAGGTAATTCGGAGTTACTGAATTGTGGAAATAAAACAACGCATACTTTACCTGTCAATTTATTCGCCAGGTTTACAATATGTTTACAAGCCTAAGGCCTTAGCTTGCGAGGCGACCCTGAATCTACCGCTGGCTATCAATGACGACAGATTCAACAATTGTCTTCCTTTGACATTTAAATGTAAAAATGAACGGTGCGACGCAGAAATAGTGATTAAGGATGCCGTAACGGAGTTTGTAAGTATTTATTTTCTCTATAGAGTTTCGAAATTATCCTGAAATATTAAAAATTTCATGTAAAATTGTTATGCAACAAAATTATACTGAATATTATATTTTTTTCTCAATCAAATTGGCATAATTTTCTTTAAACGTTCACGCATATTGTTTTTTTGCAGCATTCCGGTCGGCAATTATCGCTCAGTATGTGCCCCAATCAAGACTGCAAATTACCGCCTTGGAAATACGCAAATATGATACAGAATGTAGTTCAGCTCGCCATGAGGAGAGCGATTAGCAAGTACTACAGTGGCTGGTTGGAATGCGAGAATCCACTGTGTTCCAACAGAACAAGAAGGTTGCCGTTAGATTTCGCGAAGAAGTTTCCAGATTGTCCGGCGTGCAAAGACGTTTCCATGAGCAAAGTTGTAAGTTGATTGAATCATTTTCGTAGAAATTTCCGCTATTTAACATACGCGCTGTGCTTTCAGTATTCCGGGACCGACCTCTACAATCAATTGTTCTACTATCACAAAATGTTTGACATCAATCAACCGGCTTACAAACGTAACAATCTCCATTACTTCTTGTTATTGTATTATTATTTAGAGAAATGCGGGAACGAATTTTTCAATTTGTTTCCAGATCACTTGTCACAGTGCCCGCGGGACATGATAGCCGCGTACAACTCGCTGAAAGAGGCGATCGACAGACAATTGAAGCGGAACAAGTTTTCATGCGTGAATATCACGGGAATATTTGGCAGCGCCGGTGCCAATCCCGGAATATTTGGCAGCGCCGGCTCGCGAGAGGACTTCGACGATCTGGGCGATTTCTCCGACGACACTGACAAAGAGATTTAAGAAGAAACACGGGTGTAGGAAACAGCGATCGCAAAAGATAACTGCAAGTAGAAAAAAACCTTTACGAAATTAAACGATCTTTATTCCCATCGAGATAAACCCGTACGAACTGTGTGTCTTATCAACGAATCAGTTATCACATGTGTTAAGCCGAGTGTGCTACGTCACGTATGGCGGCAGTCCGAACTTCTCCGGCTGAAAACTCTCGAGACTGTCGAGGATCAGGGTCGCTTCCTTCGTGTAACGTTTGGGGAGCATCGGGTCCGGCACCATGACGACCTGCATCCCGGCGTTCAGCGCCGCTTGCACTCCGTTCGGTGCATCCTCGAAGACCAGACACTGCAAAGTTCACAATGTTCAGACGCAGCGATTCCAACGCGTATCAAACGACAGCCGAAGATCACAAAGTCACCTTCGAAGGATCCGGATTGTCGGGGAAACGCTTAGCGGCCGTGAGGAATATGTCGGGTTCCGGTTTGCCGTGCGCGACCTCAGGATCCGAGCCGCCGAGCACTTTGTGGTGGAAGAGTTCGAAGAGATCCTGCCAGCGCCTGGTTTTCAGTTCGTAGTTCTCCCGATCCGAGCCCGTGGCCAGCGCGATCGGGATGTTGTTCTCTTTCAGATGCCGCAGCAGCCGCACGGCGCCTATTATCAGGATCATACGTGTGCGATATCCCGATCGGAACTAAATCTGGCGACGGTGTCTCGCTACCTGGCATGGGATTGCTGTGTGGAAACAGCTCCCGGTAGACTCCGACGATCTCCTGCTTGAATTCCTCCGGCGTCAACGGTAGTTCCAACGCTTCGATTATGTAGGCGGCTACGTCGCCGGTCTTGAAGCCCATTATTTGCGCCTTATGCTCCCACGTGAATTCCTTGCCGTAGCGATTGGTGATGCGATTGAAGGCTTTGGTGTACAGGTATTCTGTATCTGTAAAAAAAAAAGAGTTGCGACGAACTGTGGTCGAATCGAATAACCGGAGGCTGATCTCCGCTTTGTCACAGTTTCGATGCTTACCGAGCAACAAGCCGTCCATATCGAAGATGCAGTGCGTGACTTTGTTGTACGTATCGGTCGACATTTTGAAATCGGAGTTAAGTATTTTTTAACGTTAGAGACGCTGACGATGACGATAAGAAGCACTGACGGCGAGTGAGAAGAGGTGCTGCAAACTATTATGACTATTATGCTTATCTTATCTGTCGTTCATCCCATCGCTCGTTATTTGCATACATCGCATTTCTTCGAACAATTCCTTTTACATTACGAGACTATCGAAACTGATATTAATATATAACGCCAAGATAATCGCTGACTTTGAGCGAATCGAAAAAATTGAATGAACTTGAAATATGTTTTTACGTGATATTCTTACAGATAATTTGTGAATATTGTATAAGATATATTTGATAATAAAATAAGAGCGCGTTTGTTTAATATTACAGAATATTAAGGTTGTTCTTAATAATATTACACAATCATTTATATTAATATTTTAATAGCTAAAATAATAAGAGCAACTCTCTAGTATAGTTTTATAAAAAACTGTAAAAAAAAGTGTAATATAGTTTTAATAAACAAAAGATTATTTTCAGAAAGGAAAAGTTTTTTGAGGATATTCTGTTTATTATTTAATGTATATAGAAAATATTTGAATTAACATTATATTTAATAAAAATAATACATAGAAATTGTACAAAAACAGCATTCTATATATTTGATTTTAATATTGCATAATGCACTTGCACAATATATTCTGTAATTAAAAATATAGAATATTGTGGCCCTTTAATAAGCCACTTTATTTAATTTTTTCTATTTAAAAATAATTGTTTTCATGTTACAGCTAAAATTTGATTTGTACATATAAAACACTCTGTACAAGTCAGTTCCATGAACGATTAATGGTTAGGAGGGGATATGCAAAAAGCTTCTGACGCAAACTTCATGTCAATGTAAGGTTCACATGCCATTTGTTTGTACTTGACATTGCGAGTGTCTACAGCTTTTCCTTTCAGAAAGTTAAACATATGCGGATGAATAAAATACAGAAGACTGGCGTAAAATATCACATGCACCGGTAACCTTACAAGCGATGGAAAAGCGAAGAAAAAATCATTAACGCAAATCATGATATCAAGATTATTCTGTCATATTGAAGAGAGCAATACGTTTTCTACCAAGTTCTACCTGTCCAAATCCAAGCTCACAGACAATGTAAGTTGATAATTGTGTCGGCTTCTGAGTTCACTGTCAAAAGTACACGAAATATCGGTCTACGTCGCTGGATAACTATTCTTTCTGTCGTATTGCGTTACTAGCGAGTTTGCGCAATACGTTTATTATGATGTAATTTTCCCCTATGTAAATGTAACATTCGAATTTTCTTAGTTTTCTTCAACCTTTGATATTTTTTTCTCTGTATGTGTTTATTAAAATAAATATCGTTAAAACTTTTATAATAAAAAAAAAAAATTCTGTTGCAGATGCAACTTGCAGATGAACGTTGCTTTCCAAGATTGATTCATGATGTCCAGGATTCTAAAGAAATGTAATAAGCAAAAGAATTACATTCTTTCCACATTCAATTTATAAAGTTAAGACATATTGCATTGAAAAAGAATCAAGAACAGCCAAAAAATTTGTAGTGATGTATTTATTCAGATAATTCAGATGATTCATGCACACCCATGTGTGGGCAACTGTGATTAAGGCATCTAATCAGCTCTTTATTGTCGATTTACTATCGATTTGTAAAATTGTAAATTCAACAAGTAATTCTGGAGATCTGTCTTATCTTAAAGTCATTTACGTTGGCTGTGCAAGACGCATGCGTGAGCTGCCCGTTTTGTAACAGTATACGTGGTGCCCGCCGCGCAGTTAACGTTGCGTTGACACGCTGCGCGAGATCATTCGTTCTGATATTTTAAATTTATCATGACAGAATCGCAAAATTCGACGGTACTTGACGAGTGACAGCGCGTGGCGTGAACGCAGTCCGCGATCATGGACCAGCTGATTATCCTAGTGTCGGCGGTGCATCTGCTTTACTGTCCGTTCACGAAAGTCGAGGAGAGCTTCAATCTGCAGGCAGTACACGATGTTCTCTACCACGGCTTCAATCTTACACAGGTAATGACTGAAAAATCGCGCGGCATCGGTGCGGACGCGAGGATTCGCCTCGTTTGAGAACATTTGTCGTCCGTCTCGCCCGGCTGGTTGCGATTGAGTGAACGAGCACGCAAAAAGTGTCGTATTATATTTAGCACCAGATACGCGTATTTATAAACCCGCGATCAGCTGATGCCATGTCTAATCATTTTAACGTGATAACAGGCGCAGCAGATATTTTCCAAATTTTATTTCTTACTCTTCTTTTCTTGATATTATTACTTGTGTAAAAATCTACTCAGAAGAAAGATCGAAGAACTTGGGAGTATGTTGTATTTTAAAAAAAAGAAAATATCCACTTAACGTAAATCCGCAAGGTGATCTCTGTTTATTTTTGTCAATACTGTATGTTTTCCTAAATTCTTCTATCTTTCATCAAGTCCTTCTGATATAATTATTTATCTAGCATTACAAAGAGGAAATGAGCTTTCATTAACACATTGTGTTCTCCTTTTTCGCAGTATGATCATCATGAATTTCCTGGAGTTGTACCACGCTCTTTTCTGGGACCTATCATAATATCTGGTATTGCCTCGCCACTTGTGGCAGGCATTAATTACTTAAAGCTCAATAAATTTTTTGCTCAGTATGTGGGTAAGTTTGATAATTTTGAAATATAACGATTCTATACATTTTTGCGTGATAAAGATGATTTTGTCTTTCAGTAAGAGCAACGTTGGGTTTATTGGTAATAGCTACACTTAAGCTGTACAGACACGCTTTACAAAGTATCTTCGGACTGCAGTTTACAAAATGGTTTGTCGCCATAACAGTGACGCAGTATCATTTTATGTACTATCTCAGTCGTCCGCTACCAAATATAATGGTTATGCCACTAGGTAATGAAATAAAGCTTTGTTAATGAAAGTGTCAGCAAAATAATGTTAAATTAACAAATTTTCTTTACATTTCTTTTCTTTTTATTTTAATGTGATGAAAATATTAATATGTTTTACAGTGTTACTAGCCTTATTTGGATGGCTGAGACAAAACCATGTGATATTTATCTGGTCATCAGCTGCGGCAATAATAATCTTCAGAGCGGAACTCGCTATACTCTTGGGATTATTTCTTTTATACGATATAGCCTACCAGAAACTTTCTATACCAAGGTATTTGCATATTATATCATAGACCATATTGATTTCTAATAAGGCTATAAGATTACAAACAGAAATGATTAGATTCGTCAGGGAATCTTCTGCAAAACTGCACAAAAAAATTATAAGCTTTGTATGTGCATAAAATACTTAATATAAAAACTGCTCGCAAATTTTGTCAGGATAAAAGCTTGATTGCAATTTTGCATCGTTATCAGAAAAATACTTGAACTATTGCATACAAATGCGCTCTTCCCAAATTATCTCACGTTTATTGCACAATAATGTTTTGTAATAATAATTTTTAGACTACTTAAAATTGCGGTTCCAGCCGGTATATTGTTCTTAGCACTTACTGTTGCTACAGATTCAATATTTTGGAGACACATAGTATGGCCGGAAGGCGAAGTGTTTTATTTCAACACTATTCTTAATAAGAGCGGCGAATGGGGCGTATCCTTTCTGGCTATAATAAGTCTTTTTTTCAAAGAATTTTCAGTATCTCAAATAATTATAATTTATAATATAAGAGAAATTGTTTTCAATTCACTTTGAATACTAATAATAAATGATTAATATTCAAGCTATTCTAGATTCTCAAACAGATATTTTGGAAGATATTGAAGATTCTTGACAAATATATCCAATTTTTTCAATGAACGTAATGAACTTAACATGTGAACAGACATCACCATTTTTATGGTATTTTTATTCAGCGCTGCCGAGAGGTCTGGCACTTTCGTATTTTCTAATTCCTTTGGGGATGTTCTGGGACGCTAGAGTACGCGTGCTCACTGTCCCAGCTATCGTATTCGTTATATTATTTTCATTTCTACCACACAAGGAATTGAGATTTATCGTATACGTATTTCCACTGCTGAATGTTGGCGCAGCTGCCGCTTGCCACAGAATGTGAGTATTTTCCTGAAACTACAATCTATTTAATCTTTCATCAGTGGCTTGAAAGAAACATTTATTCCATCCACATTTCCAGTTTATCAGACTGACTTTTCTGGAAGAAAAATTATATTTTTTTTTAGAATTAAAGCTTTAAATGTGAAACGGAAATAAAATATTGATTCTACAAATTATTAGCCACTGACGAGGGATTAAACGTCAAACTATAAATCTTTGCAGCTGCACGTAATGTGAAAATTGTTTCTCGTTGGGAATTAGATGGGAAAACAGAGCAAAAACAACGTGGAATGGTTTTTTAGCACTGGTAGTCTTGGGACACCTCGCATTAAATACTGTATTCTCCATGTTTCTGCTATGCGTGGCTGGCTCTAATTATCCTGGAGGTCTGGCAATTGCCAGATTACACAGACTTGAGAGAGATTCGGTCGAGCCGGTGCACGTGCACATTGACGTGTTAACTGCCCAAACCGGAGTGTCAAGATTCACGCAGACCAATGCTTCTTGGATGTAAGTTATTTTGTCTATCATTCTAACTCGATATATGAGAAAATGCAATAATCATTAAACCTCTTCCATTGTGCAAGAATTGTTATAATTCATTTTATTTATGATATACTTTAATAAAAAAACACTAATTATGTTTCAGTTATTCGAAGCAAGAGAACTTGACCATTGATGATCCTGAAATGCTACAATTCACTCATCTTTTGATGGAAGCAAGGAGCAAGTATTCCCCAAATATAAAGCCCTATTTGAAGACTCACGATATCATCGATTCCGTCGATGGTTTCTCGCATATAGCATTAAATTACAACATGCTGCCTCCTATTAAAATTAAAACAAAGCCTATTATATTTATTATGAAAAGAAAACCGAATGTCAAATATGATCCTAGTAAAAAAACGATTTCTACGATGGATTTTGCAAAAGATAACATCGAAGATATGGAACTAAACATGGTATATGAAAAGGCGAAGACAATGGAACCAATATTTGATGACATTATGGAGTCCTTAGAAGAATTTGGAAAACCGGAAGAAAATGAACAGAATTATGCAGCAGATATTGAAGAGATCAAGAAAACCAATTATAACACTGTAGAAGAGATAGAAAAACTTAATGATTTAATAGACGATAATATGACATCTATGGAAAATATTACTCAAATTGAAGATACAAATAAATTGTTGCCAAATATAGAAGAAGATTTTGATTCTCAAGAAAATATCGATATTTCTAATGTTGATGCCAATTCTGATAAAAAAGTAGAAATAAAGATTCGAGAAGAAAAGATTACGAAGGAAAGACTGAAGAACGATTTGAATGCACGTCAAGAAAATTATGGCGTTAAAGAGACGGTTAAAAAAATGATTCAAGAAAAAATGCTAGTCAAACAAAGGAAAGAAGCCAATGGTGAACGCAAAAATGGTGAACTTCCGATAAAACCAATGAAGAAAAGAGGAATCGTAACGGCAGAATTGCCAAAATCAAGAATATTGAAACAAGAGTCAAAGGAACCGCCAGTTTCTACAGATAAACCAGTAAAACAAGAATCTGAGACTGTGAAAGAAGACACGAAAGATGAAAATAAACCTAGCAAGCAGAAACCTGTTAAAACAAAAAATGTCACGCGGAAGACAGACAGAGTCAATGTAATGAAGCCTGTTAACTTGAGGCAAACTGCGGAGAATGAAGTTATAACTACGGAAGAAGAGAATGAAACTATAAATGTGACGACTGACAGAAAAATTGTAGAAAAAGAAGATATTAAAGTGTCCAAATCGCTAAATGTAAGAGAAAGTATAAGAAACATAATAAATCAGTTCAAGGAATTCGAACAAGATTTTATATACGATGATACTAATTCAAAGGCATCAATAAATGACGTAAGTACTGCAGATGTCAAGAGCGATTTGCACTTACCGCAAAAGGAGAACAGTATCACTGCAGGAAGCGAGAATCAACAAGTGGTAAAAGATGCTCGAGAGAGCCTCAAAGAAATAATAGATCAATTTAAGCACATCAAGCATGAACTAACCTCGGAGGAGGACGACCAGTTTGATGAGATCGCAGCCAAATACATGGAACGACCAATCGCTGAAACGTTGCTGCAGTTCAGTGAAGCTCTGAGAGCTTTAATGCAGCGAAGAAAGAAGACTTCCTTACATGAAAATGATCGCACGTCAGAAGATCAAAGAAAACTGACGGAAGAATCCGTACAAACAACGAGAACTGCTGAAAATGATGACAGAAGTGGGAACGCAAAAGTTATAAAAATAAAGGATGAACAAGACATTGTAAATAAGCCAAAACAGGATTCTGATGTACTCTCTAATACAGACGCACACGTTGATACGTTAAGTACTGGAGATGGTCCATTAAATGCTCAAAGGTACGGCGATATTTTAGATACTGTAAATAAGATGAACACCGCAACAGGGAAAAACGGTTCACAGAGAAGTACTGAAAGCAACCAGAGCGACTAAATGTTTCGTAAGTAGTTCCGTTAAATGTTACCAGCAAGACAACTATGTAATTACATCGTGTAAATATGTTTTCCTGTGATATCCAAAATGTATTTTTTAATACGTGCTCATCAACGTGAAAAAAAGATTTATGCCTATGCAAAGTGTTTTATCAGTGCGAAAAGGTTTAAAGAAAGCACTGTAATTTTTGGTAAATTGCATTCATAATACAATCTAAATTTTTATTCTGCACGAAAGTGAAGTACATAATCTGTGTGTATAGCAAACAGAGATATATGGTCACTATATCCGTTAGCATTTTCATTTACTACATTTTTACATATAATTGTAGTTATACACGTCCATAAGTTGTGAGCATTAAACTAGTACGAGTGATACTGCTATCTTCCCACATCGATTTCTGCATTTAGATATTGCTTAAATATAAACATTTTGGATTTTTGACTACTCGATTACAATATATCGCATCGTGCTTATAGCGGTGTAACATAAAAAAAAATTTAGGGCAAATTGAATTATAACTTTTCACAATTTATTAATGTAATGACAGACTGATTGATTTTAACACTAATATCTACGGAAGAATCAAGTGCCTTATCAAATCTCTTCCAAAATTCAGATTGATGTAAATATACGCATATGCATGAGCATACGTAGCTGTGTGTGTGTGTGTGCGTAATATACCATGTATTGATGTTTTACATAAAATGAAATTGTTTAATATTATAGTTTTACAAGTTATTTCTCTAGAACATACATATCAGCGCGCGTATTGATGGAGGAAACGTTCTTAGAATAAGTAGAAATTTTAATTATTTTTTTAAATTCTCTGATGGCACAAATTGATTGATATGTGCTCTATAAAACCGTAGTTCCCGTTAAACGATATTTTATCGCGTATGCCCTTTAAATAGACAGGAAGTCCATCGTCGCACTGGCAAAATAAATAATATGTATTTTAACAATTTTTCTGATGTAATTTTTAGATCAATTTTGATTATCAGACATGTACCTGCATTCTTGTTTGCTTCAATTTAAATTTCTGAAACGCTTTGTCATAATCCACACACAAAAGTGATTTGCTTGCGTTGAATTATTTTTGTAACAATGCAACATTCTGGACATAATTAATCTAAATTGAATTTAAAAACTCTTACTAAATTATACAATTAATTAATAAGTAAATCAAATGTAATCATACTGAAATATATTAAATTTCCAAATTGTTTATTACATTATCTTTCGCATATTTGTTATGGATGTATTTAGAATTTCTGATACAGTTACAACGATGATCAATTTATGTCAATAATAAAAATTAATGATTCTATTTTATTATTTGCTAAAAAAATCATATGTTTTACCTACAAATATTTATAAAAATTATTATTAAAAAATGCTCAAGCAGTTGCAATACTTGTCATTAATACTATTTTAATTCATCATTTGGATGTCTCTTTTTTCGTGAAATAATTCAAATAGCCCGCAAAAATATCGCCGATTTCCGCGCCCACGCAAGCGGTGATGTGAGAACACTGTGAAGTAATCGAGAATGACCGAGCGTGGCCGATCGACGTGTGACGCATGCGTATTCTTTGTATAACGCAACAGTCGTAAACAAGATTTTTTTTCTGAGTTGGTATTCTCTCTCCGGATTATACAGGATCGGACGGGCGTATCGCGGTGCGACGCGTCGCGATTCTGCCGCGTTTTTGCGCGTGCCTACGCGGTGGAGATGATCCTAACATCGCGTCACAGTGCCTCGTGATACACGAATTCACGGTATTTGGCATGCGGTGACGTCATCCGGATCAGTCTAGAAGAATCCAACGGGACAATAATGGCGGGTGCGTATTTACGGCGGCGTCGACGACGCCACGCCCCTCCTCTGTGAGACGGCTATTTCGCATGCATTTGCATTTGTCTGTTTTGCATTTCAGACCTATATGCGATGTACAGCTGCACATATTGTCAGGAGGACATCCCGAATCTACGTGTCAAGTGTATCGAGTGCCCTGAATTCGATCTCTGCTTGCAGGTAAGGGAGTCGTTCGAACACCCGTTTCGAGTCACGTGACCACCCACACCTCTACCTCGCTTTTCCGCTTCTTTTTTTTTTTTTATTTTTTAGTCGCTAACCTGTCTTCTTTTTCTTTTCTCCTTTTCGTCCTTGCTCATCTCCTCGCAATAATACTTCGAACTTGACCGAATTTCGAGTATATAATATTTTTCTTATGTATATTACCACCACTTAGCTCATTTCCTTCCCGCCTTCGCCTCGTTTCTATTCCCAAGTCTGAATGAAGCTGCCGATCGATGAAACGCACGTGGACGTATTGGCGGATATTTTGAATTATAATATCTATGAAATTTTTTGATAAATGTAATTTTAAAATAATGCATAGGAATGATAAACCATTTATCGTACGCAAATATTTTTTTATTATGACTCAATTATAATGATTTTTTTTTCAAATTATATGTATTTTGCATTTTGTTTATTTGCTTAGCTTTTAAGCTGGATTTTTTTAGAAAATAGGCTATTAAAAATTTTTATTAAAATAAATTCTATTACTCTATCATATACAACCTACAATAATCAGCATAATAGTAAAATCAGTAGATTATTTCGGAAATTACAAAATTTTCGTTATCGACAGACATCAGAGCTATCCGTGTAAATTGCAAAATTAATAAAACTATTCTCTTCTCTATATGAATAATATTTTCTATTCAATTGTTTAGTGTTTTACTGTCGGTGCTGAAATTGGTCAACACAAAAACGATCATGCCTATCAATTTATGGTAAGCGTGCTAACTGTAAAAGAACCTATATTGATATTGTGGTTTATAGAAATTATTAATGTACTTCTGCATATATCGATTTAGGATTCTTGGACCATTAGTATATTCAATGGTCGTGGCAATTGGACGGCTAGGGAACAGCTAAGGCTTTTGGATGCCATTGAACAATTCGGATTTGGAAATTGGGAGGATATTAGCAACCATATCGAGACACGTACACCCGAAGGTAATTTAAAATCGGCTCATTTCGCAAATATTAAATAAAATTCATACTTTTTAAGAAATACGAAAATGGTTTAAAAAAATTGTTTTCTAAAGGAGACTCTTTGTTATTGCAGAGGCGAAAGAAGAATACATCGCCAGATATCTCAATGGTAATATCGGGAAGCACACGTGCTCATCCACAGAAAGCTATGTACCAAATCTTACCGATCATACTGAGTTGGATCATGGCCCCCTGTCACCTGATCTCACATCCAGATTACCGCCGTTGGACATCACCTCAGAAGAAGCCGCACAATTGGGTTACATGCCCCAACGAGATGACTTTGAGAGAGTAATAATCAAAGATATATCATGAAAGAAATTTAATTTTTAAAAAATATTTTTCTATAATCATAATACTTTTTTTCAGGATTACAACCACGAGGCGGAATCTCTCGTTTCTTCATTATTCTTGAATCCTGTCGAGGATGATGACCTTGATATTGCACTTAAACTCGCACAAGTTGATATGTACACTAATAATTTGAGGGAGCGAGCCAGACGGAAACGTGTCGTGAGAGATTATCAACTTGTATCGGCTTTCTTCGCGTCATCCAAAAAGGACAAAGGAATAAAAAAGAAACGGACGAAAGAAGAAAAGTACGTTTTACATGAATGTATACTTTTCGCGCTCATCTCTCGAAGTACTTTGACAAACAAAACTATTTGTCATTCGCTCGATATATTGAATGTTTCGCTTGTGTGCAGGGAATTTAGGGACAGAATGCGTGTATTCGCACAGTTTTACACGGCACAAGAGCACAAACAGTTCCTATCAAATCTCGAGAGGGAAAGAGAATTGCGCTTACGGCTTTCTGAGCTTTTCCGATACCGTGAGAACGGTATCACGAGGCATGAGGAATGTGCTCACTTCGAGCAAGTTCTCACGCAAACACAGAGACAGAACGACACGAGCGATCACTGGACAGATAAGAAATCTGTAAGTATGCGCATTTCTATTCACGTAAAGTTACGATACTAGAATGAAAGTAACTTTATCTCATAATATTTTTATATTCGTAAAAGCTAGTATGACTCTAAATTTTATCAAAATTATTTTTATTTTTTTTTATTTTTATTATATGCTAACGCATGAAATTGTGTATATATTAATGTATGATATTATTAAATGAGATATAGACTTTTGCACACAAAAAAAATAATGAATAGTTTATACAGCAATGTTCTTATGCTTATTATTAGCTGTAACAATGTTTAAATTTTGTGTATGTTTCTATTGATATTTAATTTTATGAATTTGTGTAGACATTAAATCTTTACTTTGTTACTATCCTCAATGTTCAATTATAATAGCATATTATGAATAACTTATTTTATCGTTTTGTCTATTATTAATAAATATTTTATACACATTTCATATTAATGTCACATTTCTGCAATATACGATGATTAAAGAATGGTTTTGAATTAAGGTTTATGTAACGGTGCATGCAAAGCATAATTTATATCCACAATATCTTTGTGAAATACGTTGTACGCATTGAGTACAACTCTGTTGCGATATATGTGACACCGTAAAAGTTATAATTTATATGAAGGAAGTTATTTGAAACAGTCATAATTACGTGCTGTCATATTTGAGATCTTTATTCTCTTCGTACATTTATATTTACAATAGAAATAAAAAAAGAAGTTAAGAGTCTTAACTATATTGTATACACTAGCTTTTGCTTCTTTTTAACTAATTCTATTGTTTGTCATGCGTGTTGCCAGGCATTTGTGAACAGATTGTATCAGTTTGCATTTCACTTAGGGCAGCAGTGGGCAGTCCACGCGAATACACCGCCACATCTCAAAAAGAAGGTAAGAGATCATACCTCTTATCGCAAAGAGAATACACATTTTTGTTTGTATCACCACACTCATTCATTGAGGAATTTATTTGCTTCATTTTCTTTTCTGCACTAAGCATTGCTGTATAAAAGTCCTGTTTGAACCGCATAAATCAGTAACAGTAACAATGTCGTTGCAGTATCTTGGACTTTCCTGAAGTTTCAAAAATCTTAGATTTGTATACTGAATTTTGCGGAAAAAGGATTTAAGTAAAATTGTGCGCGTATTTTTTTGTTCCTCTCAGAGAAGAAGAAAAAAGTTACTCTTCCATCGACCGAAAATACACTGCAAAGCAAGAATTGCCCAGCAACTCCACAGTCAATCAAACCAGTCACAATCGGACGACGACTCCAGCCAGTCAGTCGGCGGAGCCGGATAGCAATCCAAACACTTCCAGCCAATCCAGCCCCAGTTCTTCGCAAGAAAAGGGTTACGGCGGCGGCGCTACTTCCACGCAAGAGCGCGACATCGAATTGGAGGCTGCGTCTCATCTCCTAACGAAACAAGAAAAGTCCTTGTGCATTCAACTTGATCTGAAACCGACTCAGTATTTGACGCAAAAGGCATTATTATTACAAGTGAGTAACCGATGGATGTCTGGGATCTTTTGGTGCGAAACGAAAAATATCACTCGTCAATTTTGTTTTCTATGTTGCAGGAATATCTGAACGGCAACAAAAAATCAAGCGTCATACCTCAATCAGAGCCAGAGAGCAAAATTCTTCATTACCTAGTGACCAACGGATGGATCGCAGCCAACTGATTCGACGTGTAAAAAAAAGTACGACCATTTTACCACTCTAAGTCATCTCTAATCTTATTTTATGTATAAGCAAAGTTTGAGTCTGATACAATTAACACGTAGGACAGATAGAAGGGAGAGTGAGAGAGAGAGAAAGGGAACAAGAAAGAGCGTGCGTGCATCTATGAGTACATTGTTGCTGATTCTTCTTTTTAGTAGCAATGTAAATATTGCTATATGTGATTTATTGTTCGACGTAGGACCGGTTAAACTCGTAATTGGACACAACCTGCCATGTGTTTAGCGTCAGTGATATATCAGGTGATTGTGTTTTAGACTGATTCTATTGGGATTAACTTTCACCGGAGTTACTTAATGGATTCTCCATTTTTTCCTCTAGATTTTTTAGCATAAGCTGTAATATACACGGAAATGATAAATTTAGTTAGCCGACACTGCTAGAATCAGCTATTCAAATATTATTTCACTTATCATTTTTTTCAAAGTTAAACGTTATTTGTGAGAATCTCTTAACACTGCCTACGTAGAGCCATTGAACATATTGCTCAATTAATTCTTCCACTGCGTTATCTTTGTGTACAGATCAATCGAGCACTTTACTTTCTGTATTAAAAATGTTATTTGTCACCATATTTGACAATAAGGAATCGAGATTGACTGAAACATTGTGGACTGAAACTCTTTCGGAATTTAGAAGTACAAGCAAACCAAAATGTCAGTTTTTTTTATTGTAGTTGTATTTTCCAAAAGTATTGAAAATTATTTTGACTATTAGTAAACTAGATAAATGTATTGCAATTAATACATTGATGTATGCGTTAAATTAACGCAAGAAAGCTTCTTATTTTTCAAGAAACTTAGTGATAAATTGATTGGTAATGGATTGATAATTTGCATGATGAAAGTATATTCATTGTATGTATTCAAATTATGTAAGAGATTATTGTTTAATTTTACGCATTCACATGTGATCTTCTTGAGAAACCTTTTTATCTTTGATCAAAAAATTCCTTATTGACGAAAAAATGGTACAAGTATCATTATTTATGCAACATCATTATAACGCAATCTGTAAAATAGTAGATATAATTGATCTATTTCCTATATATATATAGCATTTGTATATACGACAAAGGAATGATACTTTTTTAGTGATAATATACTCTAAAGCACAAAAAGAATTGTAACCCTGCAAACATATTGAATATCATCTTTGTCATTATCATCGTCGATGCTTTAAAACCAAACTAAAGGATACACTTGAAAGAGAAAATAATTACGCTTTGAGAACATAATGCCTCAAAGCTCATTAATATTAGTTGCAAATAGAGTTAAATTCTACGATATCGTGAAAGTT